GATTCAGGAGCTAAGGCTGCCGAAACCGTGGCTAATAGCCAGTTTGTCAGTGTCAGTGCCTCTAGCCTCACGTTTGGCTACGGCAAACACGCGTGTCCGGGCCGATTCTTCGCTGCCAACGAGATCAAAATGATCTTGGCAACGATTTTGCTGCACTATGATATCAAGTTGCCCGATGGGGTAACAGAGAGATACCCGAATCTGGAAATGGGTGCTCAGGTATGTTTCGCTAACTAGCCTGTGATAAGAGGAAAGGATGAAAATTGACATTTCTTCATTAGTCCTTGCCGGATCCTAAGGGGTTGATTTCGATTCGAAAACGTGAGGATGCTGCATCTTAGGGGACTGTCAACGTTCTTGGAGCGACCCAAGAAAGAGAAAGAGAATATTCGTCACCATCACACTGGGTTACGGTTGTAATTTTGTTTACACAGAGATTGAAATGACGTCGAAATGAACTTTCAACACCTGTTATATAGCTCGTTGCTTATAGTTTGTTGTATTGTGGTTAGGCTGGTAACAAACCGAGAAATAAGAACTTACTGCCGTTCTGATACCCATGACTGCTCTTTTGCACCGTACGCCATTGGCCCAAAGTGATATTGAATTGTGCTGTACTTATATTAGCTCATGTTTATCAATTGAGTGTTTTTTCTCAATGACAGTGATACGTTTAAGGCCAAGAGAGGTAATTCAGAACGGCATAAGAACTATACACCACAGAATAGCTGGCACGAGGCCGAGGCTATGAACCGGACGTCAGCCTGCCGTTGCTATGCCATCAATCACATGGCGTAGATTTGTTGTTTGCTTTCTACCTTTGAAGAGGCTTTTCACGCTTTGAATACTCTACTCGCAGGTTTTTTAATCTGCCACAGCTCAATGACCTTACGGAGGCTATAACATTAGGAGGGGCTGGCACCCACAGTGTGCTTTTGTCACATATTAATATGTCGGCTGTGCCAAGGCTACAGTTGAGATTTGTATGCTGCACTCCTAACTATGCATGAATAAATAACATGATCATACTACGTCTTATTCAGATGCTTTGAAGCGTCCGGCCTGGTACGGGGATAGAAAGATATAGTATCCTTCTTTGCTGCGTGTATCAAGCCTTCATGCCCCGGCAACCTTGATGAAAATTGTAACAAGATGCAACTGCCAGGACGGGGAGGTGTACCCAAAACATAGCTGTTTAGGCCTTAAAAATAACAGGTTATTTTGAACATATTTCCTCGGCATCAAACATAGACACATGTACACTGACGGGTTCAATTCATTGCTCAAATGCCTCGGTAACTATTCTGTAGATGAGACTCAGCCTCAGGCAAGTGTTGACAAACGCGGGGATAGTCATATGCACCCCGCTTCCCCAGAGTTCTAGACTAGATCTGGCTTGTTCATGGGATTATTTGGGTCGGAGGGAGCTGGGAGATAGATCTGATACTGTATAAATTGAACCCCGCCGATCTTCGTAAAACACTGTTGGAGCGCTCAATGGACTGAGCCTTAACCATCAAAATTAAATCTCGACACTTGGATATGTCCACTCCAGTCATGCCTACTTCTGGGGATAGAGCTCCTGCCTCAGCATCGCCTTCTCCGTCTCAGAAAGCAGACAAATCACCGCTACCGGCCGAACATAAAGAGTATGGGGAAGTCGAGCTCGAGAGTACTGGTGGTTGTGCCATTGATCCGCATCACTTAGCGAAGACTATTAGGAAGATGGATATTGTCGTTCTACCGATCATGACCGTTATTCTCGCATTCTGCTTCATTGACCGAACGAACATGGGCCTTGCCATGGTAGTTGGCATGGGTTCAGAGTTACGGTTTGATAGCTACGGCTATTCAACCGCCCTCCTCGTCTTCTTCCCCGGGTATGCTTTATTTGTACTTCCAAGCAACTATATTCTTTCAAAAACGTCAGTCCGGTATTGGCTTACGTTCCTTTCGCTCGCTTTTGGTATACTTACACTGGCAGCGGGCTTGGTCCGTAATTTCGGTGGTCTTGTTGCTGTACGTGCCTTGCTTGGCATTTGTGAAGCTGGGTATGTACCGAACCATGCCATCTAATTCAGTTTACCTACTGGGTTGTTGCTAATGAAAAACCTCTGATAGCGTGTTTCCTACTATTATCGTTGTTGCTAGCTCTTGGTACCCTCGCTATTACTTTGGGAAGAGAATGACAGCAATCTCATCCGGGGCCTCGCTTATATCTGCCCTTTCTGGAGTTTTAGCCTGGGCCTTTTCACGTATCAGCACTCCAAATTACTCTGGATGGCGTTACATCTTCATACTCGAAGGGGCGATTACAGTCCTTGCGGCGTTTTGCGCATTCTTTGCAATTGACGAATACCCTAGCAAGTCCAAATTCCTTTCCGAGGAGCAGCGCGATATTGCGGTGCGATTAATTGCCCAAGATCGAGAAGAACTCGAGGAAGAGGAATTCACCTTCTCACTGAGTCTAAGGATACTTCGCGATTGGAAGATCTGGGTCTTCGGAATGCTCTATATGCTGAATGTTGCCACTACCTACGGCCTGGCATACTTCATACCACTGATTTTGAATGGCAAAATGGGCTTCAGTGGTGCTATTAGCCAGCTTTTGTCGACGCCACCATATTTCTACGGTTTCATTCTTGCAGTCACCGTGTCGTCGATATCTGATCGCTACCAAATCAGATCACCCTTCATCATCTTCTTACACCTCAACGTGATTCTCGGTATCACGCTGACGCGCTGGGGCCCTAATACCGGTTCTCAGTATCTGGGCTTGTTCTTTTGCCTCGGCGCCTCGGTTGTCAGCGGGCCTATGATCATTGTCTATGGGCAGAACAACGCGCCTACTCGAGCCAAGAGAAGCGTCAGCTCCGGTGTGCAACTATCCCTAGGCGCCGTTGGAGGGATCATTGGATCTACCGTATTTCGCTCACAAGATTCGCCGACGTATACACCAGGGATAATCGTGGTCCTTTGTAGCTCTACAACGGTAATTTTCATTTGTTGTCTGCTAAACATGTATTTCCGGCGACTCAATCGGCTTCAGAGAGAGACAAACTTAGTGCTGGAAGGTCAGCGAGGTTTTCTTTACACGCTTTGAGTACGAGAGGAGGCTGTTCATGAAGATTTCACGACTTAACATTTTAAAGAATAAAGAATTTAATTTGAATGATCATCTTCCCATTGAATATCGTTTCGCACCACGCTAGCAAACTGTCTCGCCACGCTGTACGCTTAGTAGCCGCAGAGGGCAACCCGGATGTCAAGGTGGTCAAAATTCTAAAATGCAAAACTTGTAAATAACTTGTATGATTGTAGTGTTTTACGTTTACTAAAAAGTGTCTATTATTTGAAAGTTGTAGGCTTTAGGCTTGGATGAAAGTGCAAAATGAATTCAACGTATACTTGCTAGGAAGGAGGTTGCTCACTCCGGAAATCTTTCCAAGATTCAGATTTAATCAGCTTCTCGTAGCACGTAATCCGTACGATGGCTTCCTCGTTGCCTAATTGTTGGGGAATAAAAATACGGAGTTTGACTCGGTTATCAAATACTGCTGCTACAATAGCCGAGCCAAAAGTTAAATGTCTATTCCACCAGTTACCGACAGGTCTCTAAACAAAACGCGGCCCGAGGCTTCACCAATATGTGTATTGAAACAACAAATAATAATATATTAAATTCTTTCTGAAGTATATCGATGATGGATACAAGTCAAGCACCAAATTACTTTCCCCTTTCACCATTCAACAATCTTAATAATTCCCTTGGGACAAGAAAGGTATAAAATTCGAATATATACAAACTTTAGGCTTCTAAGAATGCTGACGTTCCTATTGGAATAGTTTCTCATCATGCATACCTGGACGACTGATTATGGCGCCTTTCCTGGATGCGCTTCTGAGCCATACGACTTGACCCCTGAAAGTAAGAAATTGCGAAGATTCATCATCCAGTACTTTATGGATAATCAACATGGTCCCAATATCCACACCATCCAGCAAGAACTCGGATTCTCTCAGGAAATCCTGTGGCACTCAATTGATCAACTGCATATTGGAGTTCAGGTCATGGTCACACCAGGGACTGAACTAAGCTTGATGAAGATGCCTCCTTTCAGCTACGTGCCCACTCGCCACGAAGGGACTCTTGATGATGGCAGGAAGTATAACCTCGGTTGTGGGGGGGAAGCTGCCGCCGCTCACAAGCTTTTCCCTGGCAAAGAGATGACAGTCAAGTCACTGTGTCCCTGCTGCTGGGAGCCTATTACCCATAAATGGAAAGATGGTCAGCTTCTCTCTGTTGATGCCCCGGATGCGGTAATTCATATTGGTAAGGCTCAGTTATATTCAATGGAATCAGGATGATCGTATATTGACTTTTCAACACTAGGACGAAAGCCCAATGATTGGTCTAAAAATTTCGTCTACACATGTGAGAATATTAACTATTTCAAAGACCTTGAACACGTCGCCATCTGGGAGAAACAGTTTCCTGAAAAGAAAGGCGCAACAATGCCGATTGCAAAAGTATATGAATGGGTCAAGCCCCAGGCCGAGGCGCGATATTGGGATTACGATCAGCCACCGGACGTTGTCAGTAGCAAGAGTCTCGTATCAACAAACCTGCAAGGATTGAAGAAGGCTGGATTCGATGTTTCCGCTTGGGAAGGATTGTATTAGAGGGACCTTCATGAAATATGTTTGATTTAATCCAATACATCATCAATTGCTTAGAAGCGGCAAGGTTACTTTTCGTCAAATATCAACTACTTCATTTGCCCTAACGATGTCGCTCTATTACTTCTTCAGGAGAAAATACTGCTGCTCTACATGTATGCTCGAAGTCAAATCACTAGACACTGTTCTCAACCTCTTATTAGGCCTTCAATAAGCCAAGACGGCGAACCACGTTTTAAATGTTTGACAACGTTGGTTAGGAAGAAGTAATCTCCTAGCTTATAGAAGACTTCATGACGAAGATACGATACAGACGATACTCAATTTGGCACCACCACGGCCTTAATAGGTATTCCAAGTCCGACAAGATTAAGAGCTTCCTGGAGTTGGTCTAACCTGAAGCGATGAGTTATCAAATTCGAAAATTGAAGTCGCTTACCATGCTCCGATGCAATGTCCACTGTTTTCTGGTAACTGTCGACATCGAGGCCCAAGCTGCCGATGATGTGAAGATTATAATTATTAATGCGCACAGGGTCTATCAAGACCTTGCCACTTCCAGAATATAAGCCAAGAACCAAATATTTCCCATCCATCCCAAGCAGGTCAAGGCCCTCGGGAAACGCGTCGGCTGTTCCGGCCGCTTCCACGACTATACCCGCTCCACGGCCTTGTGTGAGATCATTGACTAGTCTTAATCTTGATTCTGGTGTAGTGTTGGCGAGAGATACGGTGTGCGTTGCTCCGAGCAAGGTGGCCGCCTCAAGGCGATGTGCGGGATCTCCAATAACGATGATTGAGCGGGCACTAGCAAGGCTCAACAGTAACGTGCATGCTAAACCTACAGGCCCTGAGCCCTGCACAACCACATCGGTATTTGGAGGAATGTCTCCTATCTGCTTTAGACCTCTCAAGGCCGTCGGCATTCCACAGCCAAAAGTAATGACATCTTCAGGAACAACAGCTGGAGGCACTCGTATATATACGCATTTAGAGCTCAGAGTTGCGTATTGTCTAAAGCAAGCCCCGTTTGGCTTGCCAACCGGAGGTGGCCAGTTAACATTCTTGCATCGTAAGGGATTGGACAAGCCACAGTCCACGCAATCGCCGCAGGGCGTCAATGGCATCCAGTAGACAGTGTCTCCTTGGTTCAATGGTACACCGAGACTATCGGCGTTGACTTGTTCGCCGAGACTTTCGATAATCCCGACCGCTTCATGTCCGAATGCAACTCCCATAGACTTGGTAGCAACATCGCCCTTCAACCTGTGGACGTCGCTGCCGCAAATCCCTGCGATCATTACGCGAACCAGGATCTCGTCACGCTCCGGTGGCTGGATTTCTTCCTCAATAACTCTGATAGGATCGCCTGGCCGGGTGAAAACTGCAACTTTTCCATACTTCATGATGACTTTGTGCGTTGATCTTTTGTTCACAGTTTGGTTTGTATGGTTCGAAAATGTAGTTCACCGATAGGTTGTGAAGTTTGGATCCCAAAGTTGGCAGAAGAGGCTCGTAGAGTACTTCAACTTGGATCTGTAACTAAGCGATATGATTCTAGTACTGGTTATCTGATCTTATTCAGTATTACCCGTTAACCTCGGATCGAGGAACGGCACACCCCTTCAAATCGCGGAATTGTGAAACGCTAGCAAGCATGTACACGCTTCTCCAAGACTTTGATAATAGCAATTGGGTGATACCGTTAGTTCAAAATGTTAAGCAAGGCCTGTTTACCGCACGCATGTTACTACAAGATATTATTCTATCAAGCATGTCTTTGTTCATGTTTCCAACTTCTTCGCAAGATAGCCTCGGTGATTCGTCAATATCGCTCCGCGACTACATTCATTGAGTAGGAGCCATGATATACGAGATAGGCATCTAAATTTAGACGGCTTGGCACTTGAATTGTCTCTTTTTGAAATATGGCATTTACAACACGATAGTTCAAAAATAAGGCCATTCTTTCGTTATTTCCATGTCCAATGCTCAACAGCCAATTTGCCTGGATTTTCTTTGCTCACATACTTGATCATGTAGGAACAGGCTCTTCCTCCCCATGCTAGTTTGTCGTTCTTGGGATAAGTCGAACATAAAGCTCTGGTTTATCCCATAGAAAGTAGAGTATGTTTTTCTCCAGCCAGTCTTCACTGCGGGGGTCAAGCTCTATATCAAAATTCCATATCATTTTGGCTAAAATGAGTCTCATCTCAGCATAGGCGAGACAGCAATGCCGTTAGCTATGAAATCGCTTTCTGACGCGAAGCAAAACACTTACTTTTTGCCGATACAGTTCCGAGGGCCAACCGAGAATGGTTGGAATGCCCCTTTCTTGTCACTGTCGTATTTGGGGTCACCAAGCCACCTTTCCGGCACAAACGAATCAGGATCTTTGAAAAATTTGGGGTTATGATTCAGTGGCCACTGCCAAATTCCCAGGATGGTCTGTATTCTCACTTGTTAGCCTGTGTCTATAAATAAAAGAAAGAACTTACGTACGTTTGGGGGCACGTATTCAGTTCCAATCATAGAGCCTTCGGCTGGTGTTTTGCGCGGGATTGCAGCAGGCACGGGTGGATAGATTCGAAGCGTCTCATGCAGCACTGCGAACATGTACTCCAGCTTTTGAACACTTATGAGATCAATCTCATCCTCGCTACTGAAGTACTGGCTAAGTTCCTGCTGAAGTTTGAGAAGAACATCTTTGTGAGATGCCAACAGGTAAGTCGCGCCAGCCAAAGTTGTTGCGGTCGTCTCAGAGCTGCCGACGATCAAATTATGCGCGTTCGCCAAAACCTCTTTGTACGAAGCTTGCTACTAAAATCAGCACGTTAATCTTGGATTCTGTACCCATACTACTCACATCTTTATTATGTGCCTTTATCATTGACTCCATGAAATCGGGTCTCGGATTCTGGAAAGCCATACGCTTCGCAACCTGCGCCTTTGTAAATTCGGAGTGCGTTTCAATATCCCTTGCCACGGTCTTTGGCGTAAAGAAGCCAATCAACTTGCTTCCGAACGGGAATCTTATCACAGCTGTGGAGATAGCTATTCCCTTGATGTGCATGAATATTAGTTTTACCCATGGATGATACTGTGATTTCTCTAGGCATCCAAATGGCTCGCCGAAGATCAGATCTCCAGCCATATCAAAGGTAGTCCAGTTATACCAGGAAATTATTTCCAATGATTTGCCCTCTTTAGAAGCTGCCTTGAGCCGTTGAATAAGAAGGGAGGCGTATCGTTGAAAAATGGGCTGCTGTTCCATCATTGCCTGTGCAGAGAATCCATGGGAGAGGATTTTTCGTAATCGGCCATGTCTTTCGCGATCAGAGCCGACAAGCGTCAGGTTGTCGTCTCCTCTCCAAAAATCAGGATCTTTCCCATTCTCATCTTGTCCCCGCTTTCTATGGCCCATCATCCCTTCCCAGGCTTCAGGATATCCGAAACTGAGTTGGTTCGGAGCTATTCGTACAATGTCGCCATATTTTTCATGTAACTCAAGCATCTTCTTATGGCCGGTGCCAGACATCCACATGATTGTAAAGGGTATATGGGAAGCACTCCATAGCTTGGGGCCAGGATACTTCCGGAGCGGGTGGAAAAATGCGTTATACACGGTGAATCCTGCTACATAACTCAAGCCCTGCATATTGAAGGTGTCAGCGAGGGATCATGTTACAGTCAAATCATACTAAGAAAAAATGAGTGAACCTCGCCAGTGGGTGAACACTGCGAAGAGATTAGCTTACCAGACCTGATAAAATAATCAGCCATGAGCTGACAGTGGATTGCCGCCACCATTCTTCGATCAAAGAACGCATGATGTATGGAACTACTAAGCGAACAGCACAAGCAGCTTCCGTCTTAGAACTCGACGGTGATTCTGTAATAGTCCTTGAGACCAGGTGGGGATTTTGAATATAAAAATCTCCTAATGTTGGTCAGCAAGGAGAGGGGCTACGTGTTGACCCGGATAATATACGACTTGCGTAGTATTGGGGTAAATGATCGATGGAGCTTTAGGTGACCTCGGTTATCATCACTACTACTTGGTAACCCTGAACTTTTAGGGGAGTTATTGCTCTGCATGCTTGATTTTAGAGTTCCATCCTTTTGCCTTTGTCTTTGACGTCCGAGTGCTGTTCGGCGCAAGCCGTAGCTTGGACCTACTAATAATAAAAGTATGCACTTTCAAAGTGACGAGATATATAGGAGAATACCGTACAAAAAGGGACGCTTAAATAAATTATCACAGATTAGGCCAACCAGGCAAAAGGAAATGCTTGCCTAGTTATCGCGGTTCACCATTATATATCACCTGTCATATAAATTGTATCCTTTTAATAACTCTAGGTCATTTGCATAACTTTGGATGCTAATTTATCTAGCTACAGTGCAGTGTTTTTCTAGTTACTACGTGCAAAGAAGTTGAAACCTTCAATGTAGTTGTCGATTACGGAAGATAGATATCCTATGGGTCATCTCCTCAACCGACGTTCTATCTTCAGCTCAATAACATGCTATGAAAATATATATCGGATACGACAATGTTCAAATTTTGGCTTTATCCGTTTTCAAAGCCTCCGACTTAGCACGATAAGTCTTGAGCAGCTGGCGTACAGCTAGGTCAAACATGACATCTTCACTGCCACCAGGTATGCGCGCCCCGGGAATCTCACGATATATCTTCTCCACAAGCTCGCCCTGGCCCGTGCGGGTATATCCGTTACCTCCAAACAACAGGACAGCGCACCTCGCACACTCGTCAAGAACGAGTCCCGCCTTTGCTTTTGCGAGAGCCACAAAACCTCCCAACTGCTGGCGTGCTTCTTGGCCTTCGAGGTTCGCCATTTGATAGACTAATTGATCAGCCCATGCAGAAAGAGACTCCAGCTCAGCTCCAGCCCTCGCCAGACGATTGCGAACAACGGGTTGCTCCATGAGGGGGCTGCCAAAAGCCTCACGCTTTGATACGTAGCTAAACGCTGCTGATAGAGCTGCTCTGGCTGAAGAAACGATGCCAATGACGATGGCTAATCTCTCGTGGTTGAAATTCCGAGTAATCATCTTCATTCCTTGACCTTCCTTTAACCCGCGAGCGTCAATAGATTTAGTGCCAAGTTCAAAATGCAATAGGAGACTCGGAAGAACTGAAACCTACCGGACCAATAAGGTTTTCAACCGGGACCTTCACGTCCTCTAAATCGATGAATGTTGTCCCACTTGCAGTTCCCCCAGAAGTCTTCATCCGACGAAGATCAACACCCGGTTGGTCTAGAAGAGGCACTACCAGAAGGGAGATTCCAGCTGCTCCTGGGCGCCCTGTTCGAACAGCCATGGTAGCATAGTGGGACCAGACGCCGTTTGTGATCCTATGTTGCATACAATTAGTTCCGATAGGCAATTATATGAATCCGATATAGTATCAAGAGAGACTTGCCATTTCTTCTGGCCATTGACGATATAAAACTTGTCGCACGGTGATTTTGTCGCCGTGGTGGTAATATTGGCAACGTCACTGCCTGCATCAGGCTCTGTTATCGCAATACAAATCCTCTTCTTTCCCAGGATAAGATCCGGCAGCAAGCGCCGCTGTAGTTCCTGGCTGCCATAGGTGATAATAGGCGGCATACCGTAGGCCATTCCCGTGGACAATGACGATGTTGGCCCACTAATACCTACCTTCCGCATCTCAGATATGTAAATGGAGAAATGCATGTAATCGAAATCTTCGATCCGCAGTCCGCCAAGTAGCTCCATGATCCCTAGGCTTTTGAGCATGTCGATGGGTAGCGGAGCAGGCAGATTAGGAATCAGCATGTTGTGCTTCGAGAAGAGCTCAAAGACATATTCGGGCACATTTCCTTGTGTCTCCCATTCGAGTGCATGAGGGGTAAGATGCTCTGATATGAACTCGCGACATGCTTTTTGCCATTTCCTATGCGAATCGTTGTAGTATGGGGACGGTAGGCCCGTGAGCCAGGGAGGCTCTGAAAATGGTACGGCTACCGCAGAATCAAAGGATTTCATGTTGATGGTCTCAATACCAATATAGAAGGATTCCAGTCCACACTGAGGGGGTTTCAGTTCAGACAAGTCTATTAGTTTCGATAACAGCCTCTTGTCTCTTCAATAAATCTTCAATACTTTTCAATTCGATGACAAAAAACTAGTAGTTGAGTCAGACTGATCAAATGCTCGATGCGGCCAGAGAATACCCAAAATGCAACGTGGGGTGAAAATAGCCGAGGGCCGAAGGTTACGCTGCCCCTCACTTCCTACTTACCAAATTCGATGTTCACGGTAAGTTAATCACCGTATTTCAGTGTCAAACTCGATTCATTTTATTAGGGGGTTGGACTGTAGCCTCCTGTCTATCAAGGTCTTTTTGATCACATTCACACTGATTTTGAGTCTTCTAGAATACCATTATGAAGTCATGAAGGCAGTCGTAATCAGAGGTTCGAAGGCCGTCCTGAGCCGGTCACGAGAATTACCAAAACTCCGGGACGATTGTCTATTAGTTCGTCCAGTGGCCGTGGCGCTCAACCCAACAGACTGGAGACACATTAAGAACAGGCGTGCCAAGGATGATTGTATTCTAGGATGCGATTATTCTGGAGTCGTGGAATCTGTTGGGTCTGGCGTAGGAGATCAATGGAAACCCGGTGATAGGATATTTGGTTCTGCTCATGGTGCTAACCTAGTCAATGCGGACGACGGCGTTTTCGCAGAGCTCGCGTGTGTCATTGGGGATCTCCAAATGAGAATGCCTGAATCCTTAACTTTCGCACAGGCCGCCACCATTGGCTTAGGAGCCGGCACAGTTGGCCAAGGACTCTATCAAAAAGGTCTAAAACTTGACTTGCCTGGCCTAGAAGGTAAAAGAGACCCAAGGGGTATTTCAGTGTTGATATATGGAGGAGGGACCTCAACTGGAGCATTGGGGATCCAATATGCGAAACTGTAAGAGGACCGTCCAAAGATTCGAGAAAAAGAGTCTTTCTAATGCATCTCTAGCTCTGGCTATAATGTTATAACCACATGCTCGCCTCGCCATTTCGAGTACGTTAAGGATTTGGGTGCAGATTTTGCAGTTGATTACTCCGACGCCGACGCAGGTGCGAAAATCCGGCAATACACCAACAATCGTCTCACATTGGCGTGGGATACCATCAGCAAGACTGATTCTGCTCGTATATGTGCCGAAGCTCTCACCAGCCTATCATCTCTTAAACCTATCTATAGTAATCTATTGCCAATCAAAAGTCCTCGGCAAGATGTTTCGTCCACTACGACAGTTTTCCATACGATTTTTGGCAAACGGTTCAAATTTGGGAGCCAAGAAATGCAGGCTCTACCAGAAGACTATGAGTTCGGCAAAACCTTTTATCGCCTCACAGAATATCTTTTAGCCAAGGTCAGTACAAGTAACAAATTGAGATTTCCAAACCCAGTTGTACGCAATTGCTAACATTGAGTAGGGACACTTACGACCACACAAGTGCCGCGTAGAGCGAGGTGGATTGGAAGGAGTTATCCAAGGATTGCTGGACTTAGAGGCCGGTAAGATCCGGGGCGAAAAGCTAGTGTACATGCTTGAGGATACGCCTTAAAAGTTGGAAAAAGAAACGAGGACCCTATCGTATACTTCAATTACTGCGTGAAGACGCTCCCAATCCTATGTCAATCAAGTTTCATTGCTAGCCTTGTGATCCATATATCCCCAATCCTCTGTTTACTCTCATAGCGCAAAGTCTAGAAGCTCTTGCATGCTGCCAGGCGGTTCGCAAACGCCCTTTTTACAACCTGAGAATGAGGCGCAAACCGTTGGAAGGCATGCGGCACACCCTCGTATATATGTAGTTCGAGAGGTATATTGGCCTCTATAAATCGATGTGCGAAGGAGATATTCTCGCGAGCAAACATGTCCAAGCCACCGCAGTCCAGGTATAGAGGTGGGAGGCCGGTGACATCTTGTAAACGACCTGGTGCCGCATAAGGAGTCACTTTATCGGTGTTGTAGATATCACCCAGGTAGGCAGCCCACCCAGTCAGCACATCCTCAATACCGAACACAGCGAGGCCTCCTGTGTGGTCTTTTGCTGTTCGGTCGTCGAGCATCGGGTATATGAGGATCTGCTTGGCCAAGGGAGGGTCCATCTTTCTGTCTCTCGCGAGGAGAGCAATGGCCGCAGCCAGACCGCCGCCGGCGCTCTCGCCCATAATGGCAAGACGGTTCGGATCTATGTTGAGCTGAGTAGCATGAGCTTGTATCCATAGCAGCGCAGACCAGCAATCTTCAAGGGGCACTGGAAACTGATGTTCTGGGGCGAGACGGTAGTCTATCGACAACATTGGAACACCGGTTTCAGACACGTAGGATCCAAGTGTTGGGGAGTAGTCTCCAGCGCTCGAGCAGGTATATCCGCCACCATGTATGTGGACAATAGCCGGCCCTGGTGCCGAAGCTACACTCGCCCTTCGAAAGTGCAAAACCTGAACCTGATATCCATCCTGTGCTTGAGCGTGATGAACTTGCTTCGTCACGTTTTCGGGAAGAGGCGGCAATCCACCTGCTCCACGGATAAATTCTTCGATACGGGTTCTTCGACTCTCCACATCGCCCACTGGGAATACAGGCAATTGAGCGTTCATCGCGGCCGCTCCCTCCTCATAGAACTCTGGATCATAGCGTAGCAAAGACATGACTGTAGTAAAGAAGTACAAGCACGGACTCGATGTACAGGGATTCGAAATTTCAATGAGAGTTGACTACCTTTCCTCTCACGCCGCTATGAAGAACTAATCTGTTCAGCTTCAGGGAGATTCTGTTTCTAGTGTTAGGCAATATAAATGGTAGATGATACTAGTAACGCAGGTCTCCTGTCGTTCTGAATTGGTTCGCCAGCATTTCCCGTTCCTTCAGTTAGTAGGCAAATTACCGGCTACCCGACATTTGACAGGTTGCCTCGGCCAATATCGAAAACATCCCAGCACTACAAAATCATGGAAGTGGGATGTGTCTTGACACTCGTATCAGAGCGTTTTGTGTGAACCTCGGTACGGTAGATGGAGCATATTAGCGGGTAATTTGTCTCGTCCTATCAACAGGCATTTGCTCGAAATTGCTATTTGATATTGTCCAGACTATCCAGCTACCTACCATATCATTCAACTAGTACTATCATATATCCAAAAGAGGAAGTAGTTTTCAGTTTCAGAGTAGCTCTTCCGTCGCCATGAGTCTTCGATACGACGGCCAGGTTGTGGTGGTGACTGGGGCAGGTTCCGGGCTCGGCCGCGCTTATGCCGAGTTCTTTGGCTCGAGGGGTGCCAAAGTCGTTGTGAATGATCTGGGAAGCTCTTTGCAAGGGAAGGGAAATAGTCTCAAGGTATTCGAATGGCGCTGATATGTCTTCTGATGCACGAGCTGACAGAGTTTCTTGATTCAGGCAGCAGATGCCGTAGTCAGTCAGATCATTACCAATGGCGGCATTGCTATCGCCAATTACGACAGCGTCGAGAACGGAAAATCCATAATTGATACAGCCATATCCAGTTTCGGGCGTGTTGATATTCTAATCAACAACGCAGGAATCCTCCGTGATGTTAGTTTCAAGAACATGACCGATGAGGATTGGGACTCTGTACAGGCCGTGCATATGCGGGGGGTCTACAAAACTACCCAAGCAGCATGGCCATATTTTCGACAACAAAAATTTGGAAGGATTATCTTAACCTCATCAGCAGCAGGCTTGTACGGGAACTTTGGCCAGTGCAACTATTCTGCTGCCAAGTCCGGCATGGTTGGACTTGGTGAGACCCTGGCCAAGGAGGGTGCAAAGTACAACATCCTCACGAACATTATCGCCCCAGTAGCGGCGAGCCGGATGACAGCCACTGTAATGCCTCCAGACTTGCTTCATCAACTAACACCAGATTTGGTCGTGCCTGTTGTCGCCGTTCTCGTGCACCCTGACACGAGTTTTGAAAATGGCTCGGTCATTGAGGCAGGAGCTGGGCATGTCTCGAGAATTAGATGGGAGCGCTCGGCCGGGGCCATTCTCAGGTCTGACGAAACTCTCACACCTGGGGCAGTTCTTGCCAAGTGGGCAGATGTTAATGACTTCTCGAACGCCGAGTATCCAAACACAACCGCCGACTTGGTAGGCCTTCTCAAACGTTCGCAAGATCTACCTCCCAATGATCCGGGAGAGAATATACGCTTCGATGGAAGAGTAGCCGTCGTGACAGGCGGGGGTGCTGGGTAAGAGGCATGATCATATGGAAGGTACTAAAGCTGACGTCGATATTATAGCTTGGGCCGCGCATACAGCTTAGGGCTCGCCAGACTCGGGGCATCCGTTGTTGTCAATGACCTTGCGAATCCCCACACCGTTGTCGAGGAGATCCGCGCTTTGGGAGGTACCGCTGTTCCCAATCAGTCTTCGGTCGAAAATGGAGAGGAAGTCATCAAGACAGCCATTGATTCATTCGGAAGGGTGGATATCTTGATAAATAACGCCGGTATTCTCCGAGACAAGTCCTTCCAAAATATGACTGATGAGATGTGGGATGCTGTTAACAACGTCCACCTCCGAGGAACGTACAAGTGTGCGAAAGCGGCTTATCCTTACATGAGGAAGCAGAATTATGGTCGCATCATAAACACAACTAGCACAAGTGGAACATATGGAAACTATGGGCAAGCCAACTATGCCGCAGCTGTAAGTCGGAGCATCTACCCCTTCCGAAGTCGGTTGAAGACAAATAGTAACCTTGAAACAGAAAACTGCCATTGTGGGATTTTCCAAAGCGCTTGCTATTGAGGGACGCAAAAGCAATATCATTGTCAATTGCATTTCACCGTCTGCGGGTACAAATCTGACCAAGGGGGTTCTTCCCGAAGAGATCGTCAAATCCCGGAAGCCAGACTATGTTGCACCCATAGTTCTTCTCCTATCCTCTGACAAGGTTCCTGTTGATGCTTCCGGTCGGATCTTCGAGGCCGGATGTGGATGGCAGGCAAGAACAAGATTTCAGCGATCCGACGGCTATGACTTCCCGCACAGCACTGCTCTGACCCCAGAAATGGTGCTGGACAGGTGGTCTGAGATTGTCTCTTTTACTCCTGGGAAGACTAGTAATCCTGAAATGATTTCTGACTCTCGCACTCGCATCCTGGCGAACATCAAAACATCCCGGGACATTCCTCCCAGCGGTCGGCAGTGGCTAGACGCGATTTCGAAAGCCCGGAACGCACCGGCACGACGCTCTAGTATGACTTTTACCGACAAAGAAGTCATATTATACAACCTATCACTAGGAATTACCCCTTCGCAGCTTCCGCTGGTGTTTGAGAAACATCCTGACTTTCACGTGCTTCCTTCATTTGGTGTGATTCCGGGAAGTACCGCCTCCCGCCCATTCAAGTTGGAAGATCTAGTACCCAACTTCAACTACAAAAATATGCTTCATGGGGAGCACCTACTTGAAATCCGCAAATATCCCATCCCTACTTCCGGTACCTTTGTATCGGAGTGCCGGTTGATCGACATACTCGATAAAGGCAAAGCAAGCATCGCAATTATTGGCACCCTGACCAAAGATGCAGCTACTGGGGACGAGATCTTCTACAATGAACTAACACTTTTCCTCCGCGGCACTGGCGGGTTCGGTGGAAGGACGACTCGATCCGAACACAGCGGCACCAAGTCCTCATCCACTCCCCCAAGCCGGAAACCGGACATGATCATTGAGGAAAAGACATCCCCTGGCCAAGCCGCCCTGTACCGGCTGAACGGGGACAGGAACCCTCTCCATATAGATCCCGCAGTGAGCAGTGCTGGGGGCTTTCACAAACCCATCCTTCATGGACTCTGTACATTCGGCATCGCTACTAAGCAAATTGTTCTGAATTATGGTCCCATCAAGAGCATCAGGTCGAGATTCGTTGGGGTTGTCATCCCTGGTGAAACGCTTCAAATCGAGTCATGGAAGGATGGAAATGATATCATATTTCAAGTCAGGATAGAAGAAAGCGGGAAGTTGTGTATGTCAGGCGGGTGTGCCACTCTAGAACAGCCATTGAAAACACGCTTATAGGGCGATTCTTTGAAGAAAGGCTCACACGACGATCTTTTGACATCGAAACCCTCAACTTCTTTCAGTCAGCATAGGTCTTGCCAAGATACAATTTTCAAAAGCCTCATTCCGTGAATTTCACAAAAGTAGAGCGACAAATGTGTGCATGCCAGGGAAAGTTGACCAACTATCTTCCTACATCGTTTCAGGCGTGCAACAATTACAGCTTTCAATGTGGCTCGTGTGTGTTTATGCATATCAGTCTCAATTAAATCGCTACGTATCTTTCAATCTTTTAGAAGTACTATCAAGCAATGGGTGTTATATCCGTTGACTGCTTTCAGTGTCAGGTTCTCCAAATGTTGACTCTAACCAGAGTGTCTTTGCCTCGGCTATGTCGTACTTGGCTTCCTTAGTCGGAAAACAACAAAGGTACACTTTGGGGCAGTAATTCAAATATATAATTCATATAATTCATATAGCATCAAGCTGGTTTGATACTGCCCGCATCCGCATTACATTGACATTTCTAGCAGACATGAGTACAGATGTGGAAGCTTTGGAAATCTCCCACCATGATCTTGACAATAGATCGCTGGGTCGCTATCTTCTCAAAACCGGGAATATCCCCGATCTGAAACTCCCAATTGCGACGGAAAAGATAGGATACGGTCAAAGCAACCCAACATATTTTCTAGATGACGCAGCGTATGTCTAAGTCCTCCGGTCCATTCCATGGGGAATTTGAAACGAAAGGGCACCTTTGCTAACTGAAAGCAAAGTGGAAATAGATATGTTCTTCGAAAAAAACCTCATGGACAGGCGATTAGCCCAGTAGCTCATCGTATTGATCGCGAGTACAGAGTGCTTGAAGCACTCGGCTCCGTCAAGGGCTTCCCTGTTCCCAAGGTCTACGATATCTGCCTTGATGACTCCATAATCGGAACTCCGTTTTATGTACGTATTCTTTTGCAGATAAATCACATGTCACTAATTTTCGTCTAGGTGATGGAATTTGTCAACGGAAGAATTATTACGGATACGGATATGGCGGAGTTGTCGCCAGATGAAAGACGAGAAGCGTATGGTTTGTCATCCTGTTATGAGCTGAAGATCATTGCTAAACACATTGGTATAGATGGTTCTCTGCCATTGAGACTCTTGCTTGGCTTCACTCACTAGATCCGGATAAAATTGGCCTGGAAGGGTATGGTAAGAAAGCCAACTTCTATCATCGCCACTGCAGCACTTGGAGCCGCATCGAGTCTCAGCAAGCTGTTGTCAAAGATATTAAGAGCGGGAAGCCCTTAGGCAGAGCGCATGAGAAATATGATGAAGTCTTGAACTACATTAAGGCCAACTTGCCTGGAGAGCGGTATGCCATTGTGCATGGAGACTTCAAGTTCGACAACCTGGTAAGTCAATATTCTAGATTTCCAACCAGAAAAGGACGCTAAGCTTGCGTACTTGGTAGATTCTTCACCCCACGGAGCCAAGAGTGATCTGCATTCTCGATTGGGAACTTTCTACAATTGGCCATCCACTGATGGATCTCGTATTTCACGTCAGCCCATTCTTCTCTGATTACACAAAAAGCGGAAAGTCGGCCTTGTCTTCGCGAGTGTCACCCTATAAACCAGAGAATCGCAGTGCCAGCGGGATTCCGGAGCCAAGGGAACTCTTAGACCGCTACGCAGAAATTGTAGGGTTCGATATGTCAAGGGATGGGGGAGGCAAGGACTGGGAGGTGGCGATCATCTTCCAATATCTGCGTGGGGCCACCATCAGTCATGGCATCCAAGCACGATCCATAAGTGGCCAAGCAAGTAGCGACTTCGGCCACCTATATTTCGACAAGACTAAGCAGGCAATGGATGCGGCCTTCCAGCGAGTGAAGAATTTACGGGAGAAGAAAACGGGCGGGAACAAACTCTAGAGTCAGCCTCCATTAGGGACTAATTCTTCCGTCTTGGTTACATAGGCTTCATAGTAGATACAAGTTTAGGGGACCCAGCTTAAACAGATCCCATCTTCAGTTAGATTACAAAACATTCAATTTAGAAATCGCCTCGGCAATCGCGGCTAGAGGAGTACCTCCTTCGGTCCAAACTTTCTCCCCAGTCAGATTGATCAGCATAGTGCGCATCTGGTTCGTGTATACTTAAGAATGGTATTGTAGAAGCAAAACTTTCCCTAACCAAATATCTGCCAGGGCACCACAACCTGCTCCACACGCAAATATTTCGATCGATATTGCACCCGGCTTCTATTATAGGAATAGAACAGTTTCACGATGGCACTTCAATTTGACCCTGAATATGCGGCTGCAGTCGAGCCATTGCTTCCTCTTCTCTCAAAGAGAAAGAAATTATCCTTGTCCGAAATTCCAGCTGCGCGAAAGGCTCGTGAAGCGGGGATTGCGGCCTTTTTTCATAAGCTGGAAGATTGCCCAGACGTTCAACAACAAGTTCACCACGTGAAAGCCTCGGATGGCTACGTGATCTCGATCCTAGCTTTTTACAAGACAGATGCTCCACCGGATCCCGGACCAGCTGTACTGCACTTTCACGGCGGAGGCATGATACTTGGCTCAGCCGAACTACACGCGAAGCCCTTGGCACAACTAGTCAGCAAGACATCCGTCCCTATCTTCAGTGTCAACTATCGCCTGGCTCCTGAGTACAAGGATACCGTCCCAGTTGAGGACGCCTACACTGCTCTTCTATGGTTAGCCCAACAAGACAGTGTAGACTCTAGTAGAATTGCAGTATACGGAGAGAGTGCTGGTGGAGGTCTGGCCGCTGGTGTTGCTTTGATGGCTCGGGATTTGGACCTACAGCCACCCCTATCAAAGCAGATTCTTATCTATCCTATGCTAGACGACCAAAACCAAGTCGCAAATGATAAGATGGAACCCTTCGCTTTCTGGAAGACCGAAGATAACGTCACGGCCTGGACTGCACTTCTCGGGGACAAGGCTGGAGATCCCGATGCTAGGGTGTCTCCTTACTCAGCGCCTGCTCGAGTAAGCAGCCTAGCAGGCTTGCCGTCAACCTACTTGGATGTTGGTGGTCTGGATATTTTCCGGGATGAAACTATAAGTTATGCCGCAAGGCTGATGGCTGAAGGTATTCAAACTGAGCTCCATGTATACCCCGGCGTCCCCCACGCATTTGAGATGGTGGCACCTCATATTAAGGCGACAAAGAGAGCACTTAATAATAGAGAGTGTACAATTTTGGAACTTTAATGTTATTAAACGACTATTTATAGGCAGCGTCTATCCTCAGAAATGTCCGCACTTAGTAGCTACGATTGCCGTGCTGTCCGCGGGCGATTTCCCGTAAGTATTGAGGCTCCGAGGACTCAGTTCTGCGGCTTCCCCGTTTTCAGTCAATTGGCCAACCAGACACAGTCATGCTAAAAGCATCAAAAAGGGGCGTCTAAGCGCAATGAAGGATTTAGGATATCATTACCAGCTACGAATCTATTCTACCAGCTTCTCGCTAGCCGTGTACAGGGGGTTTGGCAGTAATGGGCCATCTGGCTTTGATGACTTATTATTTTTCTCAAGGCAAGGGGGCAAAAATGCTGGGGTCTTTGCCTAGTTGCAACTTTGTTACGAGGCCTTGTTACAAAGCCACGGCTACTTGAGCATCCCCTCGGCCCTCGGCTATCTAGAACTATTGACCAGGTATCTCTGCAACCCACCACTTCATAACAATGGGAAATTCATTGGCTATCAAGAAGAGAATTAGATACGACACGCTACCACTATAGATAATTCAACCAACCGAAATGGTAGAAAGCTAGGTAGTCTCACTTACCACCAACCTAGAGCACCAGAGAACCAGTCTCGCATCCTGTCGGTTAGAGATGGGGGAGAAATATTCACAGAAATCAACGTTATTGTTCTTGCCTAACCTAGTTCGTGCGAATTGACACCAGCGAGGATGCCACAAACTTCCAACACTTTTCCGTAGAGTTGAAGCGCAGGTTAAGCAGCCTCTGTGATGTCACGCTGAGCCAGTCATAGGATTGTGGTAACCAATCCTTTCGCTATCAAAGAGTAGTTATTGGCCTGGGGTGCATTAGCTTGATCAGATGTGGTCATCAAAGTAATTGTTAGCCAGGCATTCCCCAGACCGACTTGCCTCAATATAGGAACCTCACCCTGGTCTCGGGACAGCGGAGACAATAGTGCCGTTTTTTATGCAGTCCAATGCAGTTTCAAGTGCGGAGATGCGGGGAAATGCACCCTTCAGGAGGCAAAGTGCTTGGCTGGTCGGGCTCGGAGAGTTCTTTTCCCGCTGAGGTGCACATATTCTGTCAACAAGGTCCCGGATTAACCACTCGATCTTCATTCCCTCCCTATGATTCCGTTCCATGCGGGCGCCCTTTGTAGCGCAGTTGATAGCCAGAACTTCCTTATTTACACCTTAAAAATCTAGTCGCAGAATCGTCTAAATGCCAGTAGAGAACGGGCCAGGCGGACTGGCTGGCTCAGCCCAGGCCAGCCGAAAACGCAATGCCCCATGGGAAGGTCACAGCGGCGACCGCCTCGGAAAGCGACGGTCATCAAAGGCCTGTCTTTCATGCCGTAGCCGCAAAGTGCGATGCGATGTCGTCAACGGAGGGGTCCCGTGCACCAATTGCCGTCTTGACGAGCTTGACTGCGTGCTGAAGGAGTCCAACCGCGGCCGCAAGCCCGGGGCGGTCACTCGTCCAAGGGCTCCAGCTGCTGTGATGTCGCCTCAGCCATCCATACGAGTGGCAAGTGCCCAGGAGCCAGAGCGACAGCGGCCGCGACAAACACTGCAGCCTGAGCAATCGGAGCCGACCAGGCCGTCTAATCCATCACCTTGTGATCAATCTCTTGAAAGCCCGGACGAGTATCTTGCTTCCTTAGGAGCCCCAGGCATGTCATATAACTTCGATAATTGTATTTAGGGATATTGCTAATGGGTCATTAGAGGAGCAAGACCAATTGCCCAATGAGGATGAGCAGATGGATGATACTGGTATCCAAACTCCTCGACAAAGCCAGCACACGCGCCGTCAAGGATCGAATGGCAGAACACCGTCAAGCCTGGCCGGGCGTGACAGCCAAGGTGGGATGCCGGCTCATACTGCTGAGGTCCTTCGAGGCGAGGCACCATCCCGTCTTCCTTCATACATTCGCCCTATCCCTCGCCACCTTGATGCCAAGGACATCGACTACCTGATAGATAAGCGTTGCCTCGAGATCCCGGATGTTGAGTTTCGGGACGAACTTCTACGAGTGTTTATCACAATCGTGTACCCATTCATGCCAGCTATCGAGCTAGAGGATTTTGTCGATTCCGTGTATCGCCGCGATAGTGGCAACCCGGTCAGCCTATTGCTTTTCCAATCTATCATGTTTGTCAGCATCGCCTTTGTAGATATTGAGTTCCTCCAGGCAAGAGGTTATCCTAGCCGGAAGTTGGCACGCAAGGCTTTCTTTGACCGAGTCCGGATTCTCCACGGACTCAACTACGAATCAGACCGGCTGGCTTTAGTCCAATCATTGCTGCTCATGACATACTGGTACGACTGTCCCGACGATGATCAGGATACCTGGTATTGGATGGGTATCGCTGTAACAAAGGCGCACGTGATTGGACTGCACCGAAGTCCCGACCAACTGAATATCTCGCCGCAGGAAAAGCGGTTGCGGCGTCGTATATGGTGGTGTTGCATTATGAGGGACCGGATGCTAGCACTCACCATCAGACAACCGCCCAGAATTCGTGACAACGAATATAGTGTCAGGGCTCTCAGTCTGGATGATTTTGACCTTAGCCCACCCTCATCTACTCTGGCGAATCTGTTCAAAAACTCGAAATTCGCGTGTCCAGATTCACAAGAGCAGAGAATCCTGGCGAGAATGTGTGTAGAACTGACCAGACTATGCATCATTCTAGGACGCCTTCTACGTGTTGTATATACTGTGATGGGCAGCTATCAAGGGGGTTCAGAGTATCTTCTTACAGGGGCCGCAGGTCCAAAAAGATCGCAGGAACAAGAGAAAACTCTAAAAAAGTGCGCTACAGATCTTGAAACTTGGATAGAACAGCAGGACGACAATTCTCGGTATATTATGGGGTCTAATGAGCCCCCATCACGCACAACCGAGAGCAGCCAGATACAGAGGTTGGCTCACTTCCACCAAGCACAGCTATATCTAATCTATTTAATTACCTTGGGTACCTTCCACAGACCTCAGCTATACTGCGGCACCTCAGACCGGGGTAGCAGCTGTCTCAATGGGGAATTGGAGCCATCCAAAGACCATACCGTTGCAGACTTGACTAAACTAGGCTTCGACCTTCAACGCAATAATCAAATCCGCTATCTGTCTACAATCGCCGTTCCAGCTTTCTTTTCGGTAACTGTTGTACATCTGCTTGATACTCGTTCAAACGATGAGGAGACTCGTAACCTCAGCCTCGGCCGCCTCTATCAATGTGTGCACGTCCTTCAACAGTTACAAGAAATGTACTCATCCGCCGACTATGCTATTCATTTCATCAACTCTATTCTCAGAAACAACAATAGCGGACTTCAAGCCGCATCATTATTCATGAATGTCTCGTTTGGGAAGGTAGAAGGAGAATGGAAGTCTCGAACAGAACCGAAGAGCATGGACATGGGACCAAGTCGAATTGCTGTGGCATGTATGTACCCGAGCCCTAGTGCCTCCGGTAACCTTGACATGTCATCAGCAGACCAGGAAGAAATGAATGTGGAAGATTCTGTCTCTGGAACAGTGAGGCAGCAACCCACGCCCCTATCCAATGCAATTGAAACTTGGGCGAGCGCCGGTGGTGGTGCTGAGCCCTGCAGCATCCAGTTGCACCACGACTCTATTGCTGGTGCCTCATTCACGGATACTTGGTGCGAAGTTGATAACTTTCTCCCTGAACTTATGAGTTTTGAAGACGACGCTGGGGCATTTCTTACTGGGGACGTGTCAGTATCTCTCTCGTGAAGACTCGTGTATAAGGTGTAAAAAGATTGTTTTTCTTGCCGTAACATGCTCTGGGTATGACTTAATGAAGTTTGATACGATTGACCAGCATTTGACTTTTGCAGAGTGAATGTATATAGTGAAGCGCCAAAGTTGAGCACCGCATTACAACTTTTGGCTCTTCGGTCGTGCAATAAAAACCCCTCCTTCAATATCATAATGCCTGCCCAACTCCCAATTGATCCAACTTTTAAGGATCTCTTGTCCACCCTGTCCTGGCTTCAGCTGCTTCCCCTCCCACATTGCAGTGACTGGTAGGGAAGGAGAGCAACTTAGATGTACCATCGGCCTGTGTTCGTATCTCGCCGCTTCCATCTCGTTGTGCTCTAGCACGGGAGTAACACAGGCGTCTTTGCCCAAAAACACGTGCTCCCATTCCATTCGTGTCTTCGTCTTGAAATTTTCCTGGAGACGGCTTGCATATGCGGCCATGAATTCTTATCCTCCCGTGATAACCCCTTGGGGACAACCTGGTCCAGCGTCAAGCCCAATCCTTGGAGCAACTTTTCGAAGAATTGGGGCTCTAGGGCCCCCACTGACATGTACTTTCCCATGTCTTTGCATTCATAACAGCGGTAGTAAGGGCAGCCGCCATCTAACAGGTTTGTCCCGCGCTCAAACATCCAGACAGGCTCCTTGGTCCTTAGCCGCGGAACCGTTCCAATATAAGAAGCTCCATCGACCATGTTGGCTTCGACAACCTGGCCTTTTCCGCTGAAGCTCCGGTGGATGAGGGCCAGCAACACACCAGCGAACGCTACCAAGCCCCCACCAGCGTAGTCGCCGAGCATATTGGCAGGTGGCAGTGGGGGCTCACCTTGGGCCCCGAGCATACTTAGTACACCGGACACTGCTAGGTAGTTGATGTCGTGGCCAGCCATGTCTTTGTATGGGCCATCTCTTCGGAACCCAGTCATCCGAAGAATGATCAAGCGTGGGTATGAATCTAAAAGTGTTGTCGGACTAAGCCCTAGTCTTTCAAGGACCCCTGGCCTATAGGGGTCTATGAGGACATCGGTTTCTTGAAGGAGAATCTTAAGAAGCTTTATGCAACCTGGAATCTTCAGGTCCAGAGAGACAGACGACTTTCGCGAAGTTAGAATGTCCTGGTTGACTGACTCTGTCGAGCGATCTATACGAAGAACACTTGCCCCGTTGGAGGAGAGTAGCTGGCCACAGAACGGCCCTGTTTGGAAGTAGTCAGAGAAGGACTCAAACAGTCTGAGCCGACTTCTATAAAATGGCATAGTATATTAAGAACTAACCAGGAGCCAGTCCAGCGAGTTCTATAGCCCGCAGGCCATCAAGAGGGGGGTTTCCATCCATGCCATAAATTTTGAATGGGTGAGGTCGAATTTTGAGTCGAGCGGGAAGAGAACTAGTAACGAGCCTTTTATGAAAAGAAAATTGCCTCACGTTTATGTGTTTCCTATTCTTAACCTACCTAAAGCATTTGCCTCCTATATCGAAATATTACAAATAAACTTGTCTTTGCCCGAGGGCAAGCCAGCTACGAGTCGAGCGATCATCACGCCAACAGTGCAACCTCGGTTAAATTAACAGAGCAGCCCGATCTTTGAACAGCCACAGTACGTAATATTTCTTATCTTTGGAGGCTTCCTTGGGTAGTTGATCAAAGCACGTGAAATAGAGAAGTCCATTAATTTGATGAATGGTGAAGCCGAAATAGGGAGTGTCATATTCTGATCATCTCTAAGCCATGAAGCCTGGTAAAAACGGACTGATCTAATGTTTAGTTACGCGTCGTCTTCAATTTGGCGAATGTCCGTAGTTAATTATCCATATGAACCCGCTGTGTAACAGCCCAAAAGATCGTCCTTAAACTCCACGTGTCCAGCCTCCATCTACAACCACATTTTGACCAGTGATCTAATTCAGTTGACCGGTGTCAGATTCTAATAAATGCGAAAGAGGGCCAAGAGAGGGTGGACATACATAGCTAGCTCTTTCGGAAGCAAGAAATACAACTTGTGCCGCAATTTCTTCAACCTTCCCAGGGCGCTTCATTGATATTTGAGGTTGAGGCTCTGCTTGCTGTAGATCCATCTCTTCACTTTCGCTCATTATTTTCTCACTCGCCCCAGTGTTGATTAGGCCAATGGCGATCGTGTTGAAAGTAATACCGAAAGACGCAAATTCATTCGAGAGGGACCGCATGAGTCCAACAGCAGCCCTAGAAGAAAAATATAGGTAAGAACCCGACGGTGCTATTTGCTGTTCTTTCAATTAAAGAAGATACCTACAATCGAAAGGTATTTCCGAGAACGATGTGATGCCACCTATGAGGCTCCAGCGTCGAGACGCTCCCCAAATTGATAAACCTACCCCATTTCTTCTCTTTCCAGGTTGGAAGAACTGCCTTTGCAAGGTGGACTACACTAAGGACGCACTGCTCAGAGCTCGTCCTAAAGTCATCCGCGCTAGCTTCGTCGAATCCTATCTTGATCAAGGACCGCACGTTGCACACAACGACATCTGGCGTGGAGCCGAATACCTCCTGTGTCTTCGCAACTGCCTTTTTGACATCATCCTCATTTGTCATATCTGCCGCAACATAGCTAGCCCTACCACCGATTTCATTAAGTTCTTTGACAGTTTCTTCCAGTGGCCCGGTCCGGCGTGCTGTAATCATTACTCTGGCCCCTTCGCGAGCAAACTCTGAGGCAATGGCTTTGCCGATTCCGCTGGAGCCACCAGAAACCAGAACAACCTTGCCTTCGAGCCCTAACTTCATAGTTCCTTAAATACAGCAGTGTTGTAACGCTAGGGTCAGACTAGGATTCGACGGCGTTAGATGCTTACTCTTTAACTGGGACGAATTGGGCGAAAAGGGCTGTCTTTAAGTTCCTGAATACAAAGTTGATGATTCCGAGTGCTATTAAAAGAAAGCATTTTCTCAGGTATGGATGAAGTTATACACATATGATAGACCGAGCGTCCGGATCAAAACTCTCAACCCAGCAGACAAGACCCTTACGCCCCATTCACCTAGTACACCAGCCAGTAGTTTATTGCCTCGGCTTCATGAACATCGATCTGTGGTTTTTGCTTCGCCATAAATTTTTGCACACATGTTAAAAACACTGTTAAAAGATCATGTCAACGGAGGAGAATAACGCGAATTTCACGTCCTACATTTAGAAGCGAGGAGCACTTGATGGGTATGGGTCTACATCCCACTGCAATATGTAGGTTGATATTAATTTGATCGTCCAAGCATAGCTCTGGTTAAACTAAAATGATGATAGTGAACTCTATGTATTTGGAATAAAGGGGGAAAAACACTCCCAAGCTATTAGCATGGCAAATTTCAATATTTCTACACAAAGATCTATCATCATTCAGATCTAGCTCACGTTTAGAGCTTTGAGCCTTTGTCTGGCGCTGCATCTTCCCCAGTAGATTTGTAGCCGAATAGATAAGCAGCAATCTTTCGAATTTGAACCTCTTCACTCCCCTCGGTAATCCTGTAGCGTCTAAAATGTCTCCAGATATGCTCGAAGGGATGGTGTCTCGAATACCCATCACCTCCATGGATCTGTATCGCCCTATCCGCTGCTTCACAAGCCAGTCGATTAGCGTAGTAATTGCACATTCCAATTTTGTGCCCGAGCTGCCTCTCTATAGCCACCCACGGTGGCCGACCAACCGTCTTTGCCCGTGCGGTGACTTCATCCATCTCAACTGCCGTTCGGAGGATAAGGAGCCTGAGCATCTCGGTCTGGGTCGCAAGCTCAACAAGAGGCCATTGGATAGCTTGATTGGAGGATAGCGGCTTTCCGAAGACCTTACGCCTATTGGCATGCTCAACACTTCGATCGATACAGTATCTCGCGGCACCACAGCTGGAGGCGGCCTGTCGGATCCGATTCTCATGGGTGAATGTTTGAGCAATCGCCAACCCATTGTCCCGCGGCCCGAGGATGGCGGACTCGGGGACACACACCTTTTCTAAAAGGATCGTTCCATGGTCTGTAGGCATATTCATTGTCCATTCGTAAGACGTCACGGTTAATCCAGGTGAGTCCTTGGGTACGAGGAAGGCGGTGATGCCCTGGGCGTCGCCATTCTTGCCAGAGGTCCGAGCGAAAACGATACAATAGTTTGCGTGATGTATGCCCGTTTGCCACTTTTTGTTCCCGTTGATCTCGTATCCACGATCTCCGGAAGGAAGGATAATTGAGTGGGCTATCGTTTCCATATGCGTCGCATCGGAGCCATGGTTACTTTCAGTCAACCCAAAAGTAGCTTTCAACTCTCCCCGGATAGTAGCAGGAATGAACTGGTTTCGCTGCTCTGGTGTGCCATAGTGGTTGATCAATATGACGAAGGGCAGGTTGCCCACCATGCTGTGTTCGCTTTGCAAATCATTGGCCAAGCTAACGCCGCCTCCATATACGGGATGGGAGGACAGATGATATCGGACTGCACACATAAATAGGTTCAAGGATTTATTTCCCGACCCTCCAAATTCTTGCGGGCAGGCAAATCGGTAGAATCCTGCTTGGTCCGCGAGATCTTTGGCCTGTTTGAGCAAGCTCTCCCACTCGTTGGTTGGCAGTCCCTGGTTGTCCCACTGCGTTCGTGAGGCCTCACGACGATGGTCGAAGAAACGTTCATTATCATCTCTCTGCTGCAGTGGCATTATAGTGCGTGTAATGAACTTGTCGAGTTGAGACAAATAATCCCGTACCTCTAGGGGAAGCTCGAAGTTCATCGTGACTGCTAACAAAGCTGAGGACCATCGAATGTGTCTATAAGACAGCTATAGAGAAATCGATTCTTGACTAAATGCTCTAGTAAGAGAAGATTTTCTTAGAACAAACTAGATTCATTCTGCGCTATGTACCTGTCGTGTTTCGAAGGTGAATGTGATGCAACCAGACCGCCCTCGGCTTTCTCGGCAACTAATGTACTCACCCAACATGGTACGGTAGGCCATCATCAAATTAAAACTCCTTTAGATATGGCAATTATACCCTGTAAGCTCGGTCTACGGCCTACCTAGGTAATGATCGTAGAAGAGCTGAGCTGGTTGGCTTAATTCCCAACCCTGAGCAGGGGCACCAAATGTTACTGTTGCTTGCTTCACCTACGAACGAGCTGATGTAACGATTTAATGGATGATGGAATTTTCTACAGCGTAGAATATCAAATATTGCTCATCTGTTGATATTCTAGGTTCAGTCACTTGACGTTGGCAGGAATTGATTTTTCCGTCGGGACAGTCAAAGTCTTGTCTCGAGAGCGTATCAAACAAGAACTCTCCAACAACTGGGTGGCCGTTGCCTACTGGGCGAGCGATATTGTCTTTAAATTCAAATTAAGCCCGCTATTATCAATCAATGAGAACTTGGTCTAAATAATTATTGTGGCAAATACTCTGGGTTACATGCAAGGCATTGACAAGCCGACTATCTCCTCCTGTGGCCGGTTATGAACGCACGCAGACGCCAGAATCTAGGTTCAATCAACTATCACAGACGAGATTTGCGACACCCCCAATCTCGTTGTCTCAATCAACTCATTCAAAATTGAACTCTTTACATATACAGCCTATCAAGGGCCTCGGCCGGACGTTGTTCAGCTATTAACCGAGGGCCTCTTCTACGTTTTAGTAGAGTCTAGCAACATTAGGGTCCTCGTCGATGTCAAAGTATTTATATCGGTAACGAGGATCCATTTTATTTCTTCTCAGATTCAAGTTTAAATACATATTGTATTCAAGGAATTTATTCCACAAAACACAGAATAAATATATTTAAAAACGTCCCCTAACATCATGACCGGTACTCCGAGAAATGGGTGGAAAGAAACCTCTTCGTCTGATCCGACGAACTCGAATCTGGTAAATGGTGACCTCATTGCTGCTGTTCGCCAGAAATACGATGAGGAACGCAACAAACGTATTCGAGATGATGGAATGGCGCAATTTGTTGACCTCTATGATCACGAAAAATTCAGGCATTTCAAAGCAGACCCATGGGGAGAACTAGAGGCTCCCAGAGTCGGAGGTCCCAACCCACCACAAGAGGGCTCCAATTGCGACATTTTAATCGTTGGGACAGGGTATGGGGGGCTTTTATTTGCAGTCAGACTACTGGAAGCTGGATTCAAGCTTGAGAATATTCGTCTAGTTGACTCTGCAGCAGGCTTTGGTGGTACTTGGTGTAAGTGCCCCTGATTCCCCTATCTCTATAACTGTATGGACATAACAGAAATCTAACCCCGGGCAGACTGGAATCGCTACCCAGGCTTGATGTGTGACGTTGAGAGTTATATATACATGCCTTTACTCGAAGAAACGGGCTACATACCAACTATGAAATATGCCTCCAGCCAGGAACTGAGAGATCATGCTGAAAGGATCGCTAAGAAATGGAATTTGGACAAAATCACTTGGTTTAAGCATCGAGTTCAGTCAATTGAGTGGGATGATGCAACGAATGAATGGGTAACCAGCCTAGTGCCCCAGTTGCAACATGGGAAAGAGGACAAGGCGATCAACGTTCGGTCACGATTTTCGATTCTTGCCACCGGGTTTACTCTCATCCCGCGTGTAGCTCAGATCCCAGGGATAGGCAAGTTCAAGGGCTCTTACTTTCACACTGCTCGTTGGGATTACAACGTCACTGGAGGAACGCCCCAAAATCCGGAAATGGTCAAGCTCAAAGACAAGAGAGTTGGCATTATTGGAACGGGTGCTACCGCGATTCAAGCAGTCCCCGCTCTCGCGGCTTGGGCCAAAGAGCTCTATGTGTTCCAGAGAACTCCTTCAGCTGTCGATCGGCGGGACAACCAACCAACCGACCCAGATTGGGCCAATGCAATGAGATCAAAGCCTGGGTGGCAAACAGAACGCATCGAGAACTTTCAATCCTTTATAAGCAATGATCCTACAAAACCCTCTATTAATATGGTATCGGACGGGTGGACCAGGATGGGGTCATATAGCGCCCTGGGCGGCACCCCTGGACTCGTGTGTCAAACTTCAGAAGAGATTCGAAAACATGTTGATGTCCTACATGCACTCGACTTACCCCGACAAGAATCAATCCGAAAACGAGTGGATGAACTTGTCTCAGATCCAGACACAGCACAGAAGCTTAAGCCGTGGTATCCAGGATGGTGCAAGAGGCCTTGCTTCCATGACGAATACCTACAATCTTTTAACCGGCCAAATGTGAAACTCGTCGACACTGACGGTCGCGGCGTTGACAGGATCACCGAGGACAGCCTCATAGTTGGTAATCAGGAGTACAAGATTGATACCCTGATCCTAGGCACAGGCTACAGGAGTCCAGTGCTATTCAGTCCTGCTGGTCGAGTAGGCCTCGATGTCAAGGGGCGTAACGGCCGTTCCTTGGACAAGAAATGGGCCGAAGGCGTTACAACACTACACGGTATGATGAGCCATGATTTCCCGAATCTGTTCTGGCCAGGACTTAATCAAAGCGGAGCTGGTCCCAATTTCACTTATTGTATCGACATGGCCGCTATTCACATCTCCAAGGTCATGGCTCATGCAGCAAGTATTCCAGCCAGTCATCGTGGTAGTGCTTATCGTCTCAACTTCGTTATCGAGCCAACTCCTAACGCGGAAGAGGAATGGTCTCAGAGAGTAGCGTCGGCCGCTGGAGTTTTCGCTGCGAGTGCCGGCTGCACACCAAGTTACTTCAATGCCGAGGGTGAGTTTGACCGTGAGGTCCCCTTGGAGGTGCAGAAGAAGAGGGCCCGTTCCGCTGTTTGGAGTCAAGGCCCTATACATTTTCGGGGGCTTTTGGAAGATTGGAGAGAGAACAAGAAATTCGAAGGCCTCAGCATCGTTGCTTTGGAGCCAAAAGTGTGACCCGGGGAGCTATGTGAACCGATGGTTGTATCTACCGTCATCAAGGGTGCAAGTAAATGGTCTATTTGCCTAGTACATGATGCACATTTGAATTTGATTTTTAAATAACAGAGAAGGAAGCTCTGGTACGAGAAACCCTGTGTACGCCTTAGCCTTATTTTATTTCAGTCAATAAGTATTCGCATATTTTCCTTTCGCTAGGAAGCTCTACTGTAGGTGTATCACATATACTAATCACCGCCGTGATCAGATTCGACATGGCCAGTAGCTCCGTCACAACGGCACCAACGCCAACAGCTATTCATTCCGTTAGATACAATTCCTAAGAACTGCTGCTTCCTCAATAGCGGGACCAGTAAGCATGCTTCACAAGAAAAGAATATTCACATAAAGGGCTTCACAGATTTCTTCGGTTCTCTATGATAGGCTGGCCGAGGCGTTGTAATCCCAGTTTGCATCTCCCAATGTGACCGAGGTGTTCTGCTGGAGGGGGCCCAACCTCGGCCTTCGTCTCTAACCCATTCTGAATCGTTACCACCATTAGGCCAATGATGAAGCATAGAGGATCATGAATTTCACGTTTCGAGATAGATCCCAAATGCCTCAGACTTAGGATCCATATACATCTAGCTAAAAACAAGCTGAGATCTCAAAGCTGGGCAAGCAGCCGATTGTTCTTTGATCTACTAGACACCTAGAAAATATCATACAACACATTACAATGGCAAGAAATGCATCAGACAACCAAGCCTATGTGCTTGGTGTCGGTATGACAAAGTTTATAAAACCCCGTGGTCTACGCGAATATCCGGACATGGGCTACGAGGCGGGCATCAAGGCTATGCTTGATGCCCAAATCAACTACGACGACGTTCAGCATGGAGTAGCCTGCTTTGCCTACGGTGACTCGACGTCCGGCCAACGGGTTTTCTACCAGTTTGGCATGTCCGCCATTCCCATCGTCAACACCAGCAACGCGTGTGCCACTGGGTCGGTCGGCCTCTACCTAGCCCGTACGTTGGTACAGAGCGGCAAGGCGGACTGTGTCTTGGTGGTTGGCTTCGAGAAAATGAGGCCCGGAAGCCTCAAGAGCGTCTGGGAAGACAGGCCAAGCTCCAGCGGACGTTTTGCTGCTAAAATGGACGAGTTGGTCGGTACCGACAAAGCTCCTCTGACGGTACAATATTTTGGCAACGCCGGACGCGAATATATGCAAAAGTACGAATCGCTCCTAGTCCGATCATCGTCAAATATGCGCAACGAGAGCTAACATTCACTCTCTAGGTATGGAGCGACAGCAGAAGACTTTGCCGAGATTGGACGCGTCTCGCACGAGCATTCCCAAAACAACCCGTACGCGCAATTCCGACAATCCTACACAACCAAAGAAATCTTAGACTCACCGACAATCTTCTCGCCCTTGACCAAGCTTCAGTGCAGCCCCACGAGCGACGGTGCAGCAGCCGCAGTGATTGTCTCGCAGAGCTTTCTGGATGCGCGAGCTCATCTCAAGAACCAGGCAATCCTGATGGCAGGGCAATCCTTCCTGACCGATTCTCCAAAGGCGTATGGAACAAGCGCAATCGAGCTGGTCGGCTATGACATGAGTCAGCGAGCCGCTCGAGCCGCGCTGAAGGAAGCTGGCTGTACGACTGGCGACGTTCGCGTTTGTGAGCTGCATGACTGTTTCTCCACGAATGAGCTTCTCCTGCTGGATGCCCTCGAGCTCTCAGAGCCCGGAAAGGCTCACGAGATGGTCCGCAGAGGCGACATCACGTACGGGGGCAAGGTGGTCATCAACCCATCGGGAGGCCTCATTTCCAAGGGACACCCCATCGGAGCCACCGGACTGGCCCAATGTGCTGAGCTGACCTGACAGCTACGCGGCTGGGCTAACAACAGACTCGTAGACAAGGCAAACGTGGCGCTACAGCACAATCTTGGTCTCGGGGGCGCGGTAGTGGTGAATGTCTACCAGCGAGCGGACGGCAAGGCTAGCACGAAAGTAAGCAACGAAGCAATTGCGCGCAACAGCTGGCTTGGGTACAACGCGGCGGTTGAAGCCCGAGGAATCAGCCCAAGCGATGCCAATAGGGTCAGGAGCAAGAGGAATAGGAGCGATTTCGCTCTAGGTGACACTGCGGAAAAGATTTGTGCCAAATCCCATCTGTAGATGTAGGTAGCCAGGTTAAGTCGCGACAAATTGGATTCTCTTCTCTATCATTCTCTCCCGGTGTCGATTGAGGTTTGCTAGTAATCTGTGATTAAATGTTGAACATTTCTACAACAAGCTCATGCAACAACAACGGCTAAACGGCAGAGATTTACTAGTCTCTACATTTGACTGTTTCTTTAATGAATAATTTCTGCTACATGATATCAATAGGCCATTTAATTCCATCACAAAACTCAATTATTCAATTTCAATCCGAGCTGCGATGACAAGTATAGGGTAGGCTAGAATCGCGATATTGGACGCGTTTTTTTGTTTTTGATGTTTCTTTGGGCATAAACAAACAACGTCATCACCTTTTTTTTTTTTTTTTTTTTGCGCATCTGATTGGCTGTGTATGTCTCCTTTAGTGCCCAATCAACTACAAGATTTCGCAGTCACAATATGATTGGCTAGATTATCTTATTTGTGGAGTTCAAGATTCTGTTGGCTCGGCTTACTTCAGGCTTAAACTTCAAACTGTCTTTCTGAACCTCCCTCGGCAAAGCATTGAAGTAGGAGGGACACTGACCTACCTGGTAAAGGTAGTCCAGGGTAGCCAGGATGACTACAGAACCTAACTAAAATCCTCATTACCCTCACAACGGTACGCCTTCGGGACGAGGCTGGCGGCCCGCAGCTGTGCTCGGCGGGCCAAGCGGTTTGTTTCCATAGGGCGTGACGTCGATGCCCAACTCTTCCGCCTTGATGCGAAGCGCTAGACGCGTCGAGTGGAACCTGGTGAACGCGAATTGATGGAACGCTGCATAGAGACCCTTCTGTGGCAGCGGGCAGTAGTTGATGATGGACTCTCCTTCCGGCCCGATGAAGAAGGAATTCCCCCTTTCCCAACGCTCGTGACACTTCTTGGCCATTTTGTCGCCAAGAAGGGCCTGGATCGCGCTCTTGGAGTTCATGTACCCAGTCGCAAAAATCACAACATCTGCTTCTTGACTGGTGCCATCTTTGTAAACGACACCATCCTTTGTGAACCGTTCAATCTCCGTGTGCAGCATCTTGATCTTCCTGTCTATGATGAGTTGGCAACAGCCAGTATCCCAGTAGAATCCTCCCTGCTGGAAGGGGAACATTGAGTAGGCGCCACCGCCGTGGTACCCATCATGGAGACGATACCCTGCATTGGACAGAGCCTCGAGAAAGTCGTGGTCAAGCTCCCGTGTCTTCTTTTGCCCACGGCGCATTAGTTCATACTCGACCGGGTATGGGTGCTTCAAAAAGTTGGCCTGGTCCGCTAACTCGAGTGGCTGGCCGCCTCGCCGATTCGTTAGCTCTCGGCTCTTGAATAGGTACCGCACGCTCGTCTCTACCGACATGATGTGAGTTGAGCTACGCTGGAGCATGGTCACCTCACACCCGCTCTCACTCAGCTCATAGGAAATGTCGTGGCCCGAGGTTGCTGCACCTACGACGATGCAGCGCTTTCCCTTCCAATCAGCACCGGTCCGATGCCGTGAAGAATGAACGACTATGCCGCCATTCTTTTCGAAATCAGCCATTCCGGGAACATCGGGAACGTTTGGTAGCGTTCCAGACATCCCCGTGGCAATCACCAGATGGCGAGGGTGCAGAGTAAGCTGAGAACCATCCTTTCGTGTGACATGAAGCGTCCACCTACCCTTCTCCTCATCGTAGACTGCAGTCTCCCCATCTAGGTGAGAATTTGTCCAGATGTTGAGATCCATGATTTCTGCATAATGATACAGAAATTTAGCCAGTTGCTGCGCGGGCAGAAACACAGGAAACCAGTGTGGAAACGGGAGCGCTGGCATGTGGTTCGTAAAGGTTGGCCCGTGCAAAGACAGCGAGGCATAGCGAGTTGCCCAACTGTATCCTGCGTGGTCGCCCTTCTCAATAATGAGATGTGGGATGCCGAGCATCTTGAAGCGTGCGGCCATGCTCAATCCAGTATGGCCAGCTCCCACGATGACGACCACCGGGTCAGCTCCCTTGCAATCAGCCTCGTCCCGCCTGAGATCTTCATAATTCCGACCCTTTCCATCAGGGTCATAGACCTTTGCACGCTGGTACCTATTCTTATCTCCAAACTCGGCATCCCACCCTTGGATAGTCTCCAATGTGGTCCCGATTGTGTAAATTTTCCAGGAGGCGACATCTGCCAGCTCTGAAGCTGAGCCAGTCTTTGCCGTGAGAGGGCTAAGACGGGCTACTGCCACACCAGTACCGTGCTCAAAGTCAAATTCGAGGTGAATAAGAAGAAACGAAAGGTCATCTCCTAGCGTTTCTAGGCTTGGAGTTACCTGCGGATTGATCCGAAGATTCGTAATTCCGGTCTTGGGCAGCCGTTCCACGAGCATTGGTCGAATTTGGTCATGCCCGTGAAGCGTTCGAATATCCCAAGTCAAGACTTCGACGTCCTTCCAGTACCCGTCTGTATAAATATGTTCAAGAATGGCATCGACATTCTGTGCCTCAACAGCTTTGGTAAAGAAGTTGATGAAGGCTTCTGCAATTTTCACAGGATCAACAGAGGTATAGTCCGGGGTGAACCCCAGCTCGGTGTTGGTTGGAATCACAGCCCGCTTGACGTGTCCGTAGTAACCCAGAGTGTCGGACAAGGGCACGCCTGCCCAGCCGATCGTAGAATCTGCATTGGGAGGGCGAATGGGTTCATCGTTCCATCCTGAAGGTTCTGCGGGGATCATGATTAGATTGAGGATATGATCTTTCTTCTGATTTTGTCTTCCTATGGTTTGGAATTATTGTTATTCAAAGAGAGTAATATATGTGAATATCAAAGACTCCTCCGACTCCGAGAGCGTCATATAGACCATATGCCCACTCTCGCATGCCGAAAATACACCATTTTGCGTACTAACCATTGTAACAGGGATTGTATTACTGTTCCGACCCGACCAAACAATATGCATTTGCTGTGACGACTTGCCTCGGGCCGAGCCCAGTACATGTAAGGATAGAAGCTGTACATAAAATATTGACTCGATCTGGTTTAGGCAGTGATTGGGGCATACAACCCTGCTGATGAACGTATCCGGTCCTTTCCATCGCACCCAGCGTAGTTAGGAGTCCAGAGATTTTGTCGTTCTCGATGTCGGCTCCGTTAAGCTCCTGCTGATAGCCTACTGGTTAAGGAAGCACATCTCAAGAGCTCTTGTGGCTACCTGGGAAGGTTGGAGAATAAAGCGAAGATCATCTTAGCCCGACCTCTATCAATTTTTCTCGAAGAGAGCAGAAGACTTGAAGAAGTTATTGAGGTGCAATAAATTCAGATTGTTATCTCATCTTTCCACACTTTGTGCAATGGTCATATGACGACTATCTACTTAGGACTGAGTAGCTCTAGAAGTCCCGAAGAAAGCCTTGTAAGATCGCGCATGAGCTAACTCAACGCTTATTTTACACTCCTCACTCGTATATTCGGGACGCTCCTTGATTTTAGAGCCTCCACCACCAGGAAGAATCTCGATGGCTTCACCAGAAGTAGTACAATCTCCCAGGAGTTCTTCAAACGCGCCCAACAGAGTCTCCACAGGTGTCAGCAGCCCTTTCGCCTCGATCTTGTCGTAGAACTCGTTACTGGAAATACCAGTCCTTACGATGCATGGGCATATAGCGTTGAGAGTTATTTTTTCCTCGGGCAAAAATTTACCGTAGGAACGTACAAAACCCACAACAGCACTACCAGTAATTAGAGGCAATAGACATGGCATGGAGGGGGTTGACTGACTGTTTTGAAGCCGAATAGATGGGGAGACTTGGAATGGAATAGAAACCACACCCGGATGAAACTATTATGACTACAGAACAGTCAATCTCGGTGCTTGCCATTGACCTAGTGTGACAAGTATCACTTACTCTTTCCACGGAACCCGTACTTGTTTGGTTGTTGAGCTCGGAAATGCTGGGTTGCTAGGGCAGAGGTATACAGAGCTCCGGTCCCATTAATATCAAACACAGACAGATCAGGTTTCACGAAACCATCGTCGCTTGGTTCATTGGGAATCCAAAGCCGTTCGGTGATACCGGCGACTGGGAAGACGTAGTGGATTCTGCTTAGTTTTTCGACAGCAGTCTCAAATGCTTGTTTCTGTGAATCCCAGTCTGCCACATCGACCTGCGCAGCCCAAGCAACTTGACCATTTTTGTTCAAATGTTGGGCAACTTCTTCTGCACCTTTGAAATTCCGGTCAGAAACCACCACTTTCATTCTATCGGAGGACTAATATTAGCAAATCTCCAACTAGGTATTGAAGTTGAGGATACTAGTGAGAACCTACCCTTTGCTAACGAGCCTCTCAGCCAAGAAACGACCAATGCCGCTGGCACCACCTGTTGGAATTATGTGAATATTCTTTTTGGAGCATGGAAACTTATTTTGCCTTACCTGTGATATATGCAGTTTCTCCGGCGTAAGACATCCTGTAGTAAATTTGAATGTTCACTTGAACAGTGCTCAAATGAATAAAATAGCTGGGTTATTTTCTCTGCAGCTTGGTTGAATATCTGACGATTGAATTACCCCCCAACTGCGATCAGGGCGATAGATGATAATTTTAAAAGATTAGAAAAATTGGAAGTGAAAATTTGGTCATGTGTCAGAAGATATGTTGCCGAGGCGTCGGGAAGATGGAGGTGACCCTCACAGAATGAGGGTGGCAACCTCGGGACCGAGGATTTGGTATGAATTCCCAGGTAACATTTCAAAAAGTATCAGGAAAAAAGAGGAATAAGCAACCGGAAGAGAAATAAGGGCTATACAGTTTGTTTGGAGACACGCTCTAAGCTTGCCGTTGCAACGGCTATTGAGCATATTGCATTGGCTACTGGAGAGACACTAGATCTACTAGATACATTCAAATAGATACCAGACTTCATTGTAGAACAGGATAATCAACGTGTGATGATTTAGGTACTGTCTTGCCACGGTGGTTTGGTTATAAATTAATGCAGCTTGCTGTGTCAGTGGCTCTGCACACATGTAATGAAGGGGACTAATGTGAGGAAGCACGGCTTTAATTTCTAGGTATCATAACTCGGAACAAGTTCAGAGCCTGGAAGTCTCTGCAATATCTTTGAAAATGAACAACGTATCCGCTGTAGCTCTCTTGCCACGTAGAACCCGCCGGAGTATCTTGCCACTCGGACTTTTTGGCACTTCGGAAATAAACTCAATTTCCTTCAACCACTTGTACCTGATTTTCCGATCTTTGACGTACTGTAAAAGCTCTCTTGCAATCCTAGGATTGGGGCTCATAGTCTGCTTCAACACAACATAAGCTTTTGGTCGTTCTGAGCCTCGATCGTCGGGTATCCCTAGCACGGCACAATCTTCAACAACTGGGTGACCTAGCAGAAGCTGTTCTAAATCTGCTGGCGCTACTTGCTGGCCTTTGACTTTGATCATCTCTTTGATACGATCAACGATGTGAATGAAGCCTTTGTCATCTACACAACCGATATCTCCCGTGTGCAAAAACCCATCGGCTCCAAAGGTCTCGGCTGTTTCCTTTGGGTTGGCAAGATATCCCATGGCAATCTGTGGTCCCTTGGCGAGGATTTCTCCAGTCTCGTTGGGCCCAAGCTCCTTGCCAGAGTCTAGGTCAACAATTTTGATAACCGTGGATGCCAAAAGTACACCCCCGCTGTCGGCATACTTGTAGCTGTAGAATTCGGGAGGATGAGTTGTCAAGCAGCAACAGGACTCTGTCATGCCATAGCTTTGCCTGAACCCTGTCCAGGGCAGCTTCTTCTCAAGTAGCTTGATAACTTCTCCCCCCAGTGGTGCCGCCCCGCAAGCGATGAGCTTGACGCTTGTTAGGTCGTATTTGGCCACCACAGGGTCATTGACCAAGCGATTGACGATAGAAGGCACGAGGGCGAGGTCAGTTATTTTGAATTGGTCAATGGCCTTGAGAAAGTTTTCAATTGTGAACTGCGGCAACATGACACACTCGTCATTACTGGCAATAGGCCAGTGTAGGAAGCGAACAAGGCCGCTAACTAGCAGCTTGTTAGCATGTGACTTGATATCTCGTTGGGCTGGAATCTGGCATCGCAGAGAGCCGGCAGCTTACTATGGAACAGGGGAAGGCAAGCCAAAAATCTCCTCCTCTCCGGCCCAGAAGCAGATCCTAGTTGAAGACACTGGGCGATCACATTTCGATGTGATAGCATGACCTGTCCGCTATTTTAGCAACTGAATCTCTTTGACAGGTGACCAGAAGAATGCCACTCACTGCTTTCGGAAGCCCGGTTGTTCCACTACTAAAGTTCAAGTAGCCACATATATCGTTTGTCTGGCCCCTCGCAATTCGAAAAAACGGTGTCTGCTCTTCTTCCCCTCGCGCTCGCCCAATTTCTAACAATTGGGATATTGAAGCATGACCTTGAAGCTCCCCCTCGAGTAAGAATATGTGTTCAGTTGGGATCCCAACTTTCCGTGCAGCGGCGAGGACTGTTTCGATGCATGATGGTACTGTCATGATAAACTTGGTATCCGCTGTCTTCAGAGCATTTGCCATCTCGTCTACGGTGTGAGAGGGAGATGCTCCATTAACTCTACCGCCTGGCTATTGTGTCAACAGTGTGAAAACATAAATCTGGAATTCTCAATGCCTTGAATGTGGAAATGAAAATGGAATTTGCAAACCTACCTGCCCTCAAAATGGCGAACATGGCCACTGGGTACCATATACTATTCTGGCTAAACAAAGAGACAGTGTCGCCTCTGCCCAGGCCGTATTGGCTTGTTAGGGCTGTGCATAAATGGGTCGCATGTTCCTTGACTTGAAGGAAGTCCAGACGTTCCCGAGTAACAGCATTGGAGAACCCTGCCAGCTTGCTAGGTGGATTGCGAAATATTGGCGAATACCTTCTGTCTTCGAATGCCCATTCCCATACCGTCAAGTCTGTGGGGTCTACGATTAAGGGTTAGATATTGCAGTTGGCTGTTGAAATCGCAGTGACGTACATTCAATATCTGGGTATTTGGATTTGAACACCATTGCGAAAGTAGTTTGTTTGGGACAATATCGAATCACCCGGCTAAGAGTGCGACTGGTTGGCACCTCTAGAACTGGAAGCTGCTCATATTCTGGAGAGCGTCTATATCTTCCAGACAAAGCCTGCTCACGTTTACCCAGGGAATGTGATTGATCAGAGGGTGGGGTAAGCAGAGATGGAAAACGATCATCACTGTGCTTCAGTATCCGAGGCAATGCTAGTACAAAGTAACCTTGGGCCGAATGCCTCCGCATGAAATGAACCTATGTCCCCAAATCCTCAAGCCAGACATGCGTATTCCCAATGCAGACAAATTTCAAAAGCTATGGGGCGTAAGGGCAAGTAATGAAGTCAGGATAACACCAATCTTGGGCCACGTGTGATTGGGTGCCGAAAGAAGTTGCGTAGATGATTATAGTATACGTGCTGTTATTTCTACGCAGAAATTTCAACTGCGAGAGAAGAATTGGGACTAGAAATGTGATGAAGTTTGTCTGGAGCATAGCAATAATGATACGATGAACGTACTGAGAGGCTTGCTCAGCAAGGAGCAGCTCATCATTTTTGGTGGAGTTGGATTTGCTGCCCCCTTTACATGGCAGAATATACGAGAGGGTACATTAAGAAGCAGTCTGAGAAATTGGCAAGTTTGTTGATACGGGGTTTTTCTTTCCTTGCTCTACTTGTTTGATCTCAGTGTTGGAAGTGAATAAAAATGACACTATGCAATGAACCGCGCCTTCCAGAAGTCGGTTGACAAGAATCGTAAGTTTGAATCGTACGATGAACTCTCATCCGTCCAACATGATATGCCCTTCTCCATCGACATCCTGATCAATAATGCCCTCGGCCCTCGGAGCTGCCCGTATTAGTTGTTGTATCAAGAAAAATTAGGAGCTCTATTGTTCAATGGCGAAGAAGGATTATGAGGAACGAAGTAGCCTAGAATCTATAAGCTGTCAACCTTCCTCTCATTCTGATCCAATCACACAACATTCAAAATCCAGTCTTTTTGAGTACACACAGATAGTTCTCTGAATACTCTTTCTCTATTTTGGCACTTAGACTCAAAATGGCCGCGGAAACAAACGGCACCACAAATGGCTCTGCCAACAGAAAACAACCGACGGTTGATGAAGATTTCATCCGTGCAGCTATAGGAAAGTCGAACTTGAACGCTCTTCGGCTCGCGTTGTTACAGGTGACGGGTGACCCAGATTTAGCCAAGATGCGGACACGGCGTCAACAAATCCGGGGAGGCGCCATGTTCACTCATGTCCTCGTTGATGAAGATGCTCCGCTTCTCACGGAGAAAGCACTGGCGTTTCTTTCTCAGCGGAAACCAAAGGACCCTATCCCACCCCCACCGTCAAAAGTTGAGTCTAAGAAGCTCGTCGACCTTTTTGGGGACGAACAGGTGGGAGAGCGTGAATTCAACTACGATTATGAAGAGCTCGCATTCGAAGAATTTCCTCGTGAAGCTCAGTGGACTGAGAAAAAGCCCTCCGCCGAAGCGATTTCTCAGTTCAAGATCGTCATAATCGGCGGTGGCATTAGTGGCCTGGCTGCGGCTGTTCAATTTAAGCGGCTGGGCCTAAACTTTCAGGTAATCGAGCGACAGAAAGGGATCGGGGGCACTTGGCTCCTCAACTCATACCCAGATGCTCGAGTCGATACTTCTAGCTATCTGTTCCAGTTCAAGTTTGTCAAGAACTACCCCTGGTCGGAGTATTTCGCAACAGCTGGAGAAACCCAGAAATATCTGGAGTACGTCGCCAATGAATATCAAGTGAAGGACCACTTCCGTTTCAACCGTGAGGTAGTCAGTGCTATATGGAATGAGCTGACCAAAAAATGGCAACTTACGGTTAAAAGCAACGATGGTGGCGTGGAAGTGATCATTTGTGACGCTGTCGTGAGCGGGACCGGTGTCTTTTCAACACCGAGAATTCCTGATATAAAAGGCATCAACGATTTTAAAGGAGAAATCTTCCACACGGCAAACTGGGACCACAAGACCGACTGGCGCAACAAGCGTGTTGCTCTTCTCGGCACGGGGTCTACTGGCGTTCAGCTTTCATCGGCTGTTGCTTCTCAAGCAAGTCACTACACTGTCTACCAACACTCGCCGAATTGGATTATGAATATGGCCGGCTATAGGACACGTATCGATGATCACGTGCGCTGGCTTTTCGACACGATGCCTTATTACTGGAATTGGTATTGTTACTCAGCACATGTGACATCGCAGCAACTACAAGGACTTCAGGATTATGACAAGGACTGGCAAGCAAAAGGAGGCCTCATTAATAAGCGCAATGATCTGGTCCGTGAGTCACTCACGAGCTACATCAAATCGAAGACCAAGAGCAAACCTGGCTTGTTTGAGAAAGTTTTGCCTGACTATCCGCCCCTGGTGCGTCGTCTTGTTGTGGATAACGATTTTTTCGACACCTTGCTGCTTGACCATGTGGATCTTGTAACAGACAAGATTGAAAACTTCACAGAAAAAGGTATCAAGACGGCTGATGGCGTGGAGCGCGAGTGTGATATCGTGATTCTCGGCACAGGCTTCAAAGTTTCACAGTACTTTTGGCCATGCAAGTATGTCGGCCGAAATGGCACAACTTTGGAGGAGTTATGGAAGAAAGACGGAGCACGATCATATCTCGGCTTAACGATGCCGGGATTTCCAAACTTCTTCAGCTTCTACGGCCCGAACCATCAGCCACGCTCTGGAGGATTCTATTCGTGGGGGGAGATTTGGTCACGGTATACGGCTGAAGCTATTGTCCATCTACTCGAAAACAAATTCAAGAGCATAGAATGTCGACAGGATGTATTTGATTGCTACAACGCCAAGTTGGATGAGGCGAACAAAGGTCTCATCTGGGAGCTGCCAGGTCATGGTTATTACGTCAATGAGTTTGGACGCCAGAGTGTCAACACCCCATGGAATACGGCTGATTATCATTCAATGGTTTTGAAACCGAATATGGATGATTTTGACTTCCAATGATGGGAGCAGCTGTTTGATGATGAGAATGTTATGTAGCTGAAATTATTCCAATTCGAATCTTTAGAGAGAAATACTTGCTTCTCTTGTATTGAACTTCAAGGAAAGTTGAGAAATGAAGCCCTGAAAACAGCCCCTAGTCTCAGAGGCTCTTCGAGTGCCAATGTCACCTTGAGGCGGTTGTTGTTGGGGGGGGGGAAGAATTGTTACTTGTTTGGATCGATTGTCTTTGAGTTGGGCAACCCAGCGCGGTGATGAGCTGCGAAAACCTAACAAGCCGTATCGAAGTAAGGTGATATCACAAACATAGACAATTGATATCAAACTGATTATATGATTAAGTCGTTGAGAGTTGTATAGGAGTGTTGTAGGTCTGTGGCGGTCAATTTCTCATTGGTTAGCTGCTAAGAGATTAGCTCACGAGGATATCAATAAGACAAATGATGTTAGCAATGAAGAAAACCAATATCTATTGCGTATTGGGAATTAATCCAGCATAGAATCCGTTAACGCGTTTTTATTCCCTGGACGAGTCAATGTGACCTTGAGAATGACTCCGGACCGGGACACGCGATATTCTCTAGTGTCCTCAACAGCATCCCACTGTCTAGTGGTACTCATCGCCGGAGAACTTGTGGCGGCTGGAACTGTGCTCTTCTTCTTTGCGACGAGAGCAGCACCTACCCTGCTCCCATTCGGGATACCAAGTTCGTCGGATATCCATTGCCCGATATCGGTAAGTTTTTCAATATCTACACCGGCTGGAATTCCTGCATTTTCAAAGGAATAGACATCATCCTGTTGCCACATTACCCCTAGCACCAGGGGCATAGGGACAGCCACCCAAACCTGCAATGCTGCTATCAAAAGTCCAAATTCCCATGTCGTATGGACGAACAATGTTTGCTATACCTTGACCGTAGGTATCATGGAAGTGACCGGCAAGTTTATTAGCAGGGATATGGTTGAGAAGTATGTCAAGCACGTGCTGAACCTGTTTGGGAGTTCCAACACAGTCCCTGGTAATTTCTTTTTGGTTCTCACACATCCGATTCAGTCAACACATTTCATGTGCTAGGATCGGTCAGCAAACGTACACCTACTTTCAACACCTCTGTAGAACTATGTTCCGTTAGGTTATGTTGCCGTGAGTGGCGGTCGGCTATCAAGATTTCTGGCCCGAGGCTACTATTGCTGCCTCACCTCCTATCTCGGGCTGGATATCCGCCTAAAGTCATGCAAGAAGTGGAAATCAGATATAGCCCTGCACTTGCGAGAAATTGCGGCAGCTCTGCGTGCGACTATCGCCTCGCATCTGGCCACCAGCTGAATAAAGATTCCAGTCCTTTGTATTTGACAGCCCTGTGATGGGGGAACAGTTCAAACAGTCTAACCATTTTAATAGCATGGTATCTGAGATATGAAAACAGAAGGCAGTTGTAGTATGTAGTTTACAGGTCCACTGATAATATATCTATTTTCGAGATAATGTTCCAAAGTCCAGCCGAGCTGTATCACCACCGAAGACAAATCCCGGTGATAAGGTCAGAGACTGTCAACATGATGATTCTGTCAAAGACGTTAGCACATATGGCATGTAGAGAGAAGGACGGCACTCACGCATGAGGAGCTATCCTCAAGTAATATGGGGTGAATCCACGATAGAAAGCGGTCGGGCCCTCGGTGCTCAACACCTTGATGATACAATCTAACACGCCGTTGTATCGTATGCCTCCCCCCTGCTGCCTTGATTGCCACTGCATTCTGGTTTTGACGAAATCAAATGGCAGGCTCAAAGTGGCAGCGACAGTACCGGAAATTGCTGACGCAACGAGGCTCTGGGAAAATTCTGGCAGATCGGTGTGCTTTGACAGTTGATGTTTGAGTTCGGAGAATGATGCGAGCTGGCCAAAGTTGGTTGAACATGCCCTGACGACTGTTGGAGTTGCACCACTCCATAGCCCACGAATACCTTCTGTCCGCGCAATGGTCGTCAGCGCGTCTATTACAGATCGATAGTTTGCTCGCTCTAGCAATGGTTTCGCCCCGTCACTCTGCATTCGGATCAAAGCAACCTCAGTTGGGGTCCCAATGAAAGAGCCTAGCCCGCCCGCGAGTAGACCAGCAATTCCACGCTCCAAGAATGATATATCACGACCCTGAAGCTGCGCTCTTTCCTTCATCTTATCCTCGAAAGTGTAAAATAGACCCATTCGTGCGGTGCCATAGACAATTTGCCGAAGGTACCCAGCGGAGATGCCTTGATACAAGTCCAGGAATCTTCCCTTTGCCACAATCTCCCTGGCCACCGTGAAAGCGCTTGACCGACTGCTACTTGTACTAGACTGCCCAGCAAGCTGCAATCGTACTTTGATAACGTCAATGGGATGTATAACCGTGGTGGCCACAAGCCCTGAAGCGCCGCCGATTAGAAAAGGTCGGAGGGTAATCATTAGGTTTCTCCCATGCTGCCATGGTGCCCATAATGAACTGTGGGCATTATTAGAGCCGACCATTCTTGTTCTATGAGACGGAAAATGTACCAGAAGTTGAAGAATGCTCCTAACTATCACCATAGATGCTCTTCACCAGGCCTGATAAATTCAACAGCCAAGACACGCGATATCACTAACCGAACAGCAAATAAAAGAAGAAGAAAAAATTGATGTATGAGCGTTGAGAGGAGATCTGATACGTACCCCGGATTATGAAACGCCACTTTGATTTTTCCTTTTGTCGGTAAATGCTATTTCTCGCCGGACTATTACTTTGGCGTATCGGTTTTTGCGTTGCCACCTCGGCAACTAACCTGCACCTCCAATCCTTGCCACCTCCCGGACACAAGTGCTTGGGAACGTAGGTATAAAACATTACAAACCAGTTGGAATAATATGAATAGTTATGCTGCTATCACGATCTATGACATTGTGTTTTAGAGTTTTAGTGAATTAGATTTCGGTGAGACTCTAGACAGGGTTCGGTTTAAGGTTTTAATGAAAGGGTTGACAAAATAAACTGGTTTCGAATCAACTTAATCAGCCATTTTATTGCTGATGAAGGCAGCAGCTTCAGATAGTGACTTGTCTGCCTCTGGAGAATTTCCCACCAAAGCTATCCAAATGTGCTGCATATCAGGGGCCAACTTCAGCTGCACATCAACGCCTGCCTTTCTTGCATTTTCTGCCAACGAGACAGCATCACTTTCGAGGATGTCAGAGGTACCTGTCGCTATATACATTGCCGGCATTCCGGTGAGATTCGTACGGAGTAAATCTACCAGAGGATTGTCCAGCGAGGCACCGCCTAGGTATGTTTTGATTACACCCGGTAACGCCTCTGGAGATGCCAGGGCGTCCTTGGGGTTGTTTCTTTCGTAGCTCTCTCCAGACGCTCGCATATCAAGCCAAGCAGAGAATGCCGCGATGGCCGCAGGAATGGGCAAGCCTCTTTGTTTGATCGCGAGCGAGGCAGATACGCTCAGATTTGCACCAGCAGAGTCTCCCGCAAAGGCTATGTGATTAGGCTTCAGGCCCCGATCATTCAACAGCCACTCATATGTAGCGATAACATCTTCAATCTGTTTTGGGAATTGATGTTCTGGAGCTCGACGGTAGTCGATAACAAGGGCGTATGTCCCAGCCTTTTTGGCCAGATGTGCAGCAATCTTGCGGTGGCTAGCGGGAGAGCCTGAAATAAATGCCCCGCCATGAAGGTACAATATCAACTTTGAAGGCGAGGATGAGTGTGGTTTGCACCAAATCGCCGGTCGAACCGTGCCAGGACACTTAACCTCCTCATATGTCACATCAGTAGGCTCTGAGGCTAGTGAACCACACTCCTCCATGACTATCCGATAGAGTCCTATGTCTAGGGACTCCTTTGTCATGTACTGGGATAGATTTGTCCAAAAACTTTCCATCTCCATGTTGGATAGTTGCTAAGATGTTGAGCGGGTTGAAAAGGAAAGACAGCCGTCCTAGGAAGAACGTCGCCAGTCCATTAGGAGTCGCCAACCAGAAGCGCGAGGACCATATATCATCATGTCTTCGCGGTTTGAAACCGAGGATGCTGATAGTCTGTTTGGAAGAATGACCCCTCGGCTAATCTTAGCGAATGTTTTTGCATATCGTCTGAATGATATATCGATTTAATTTTATATTCATCTGGCATAGAAAATAGTGTAGTACGTATATTATATGACTTAGATCTACGCAGGTGCTGGTTACATTGATCTACCATACAGAACCAGTCACGAAATAAGTTGATATTCTGCCCACCGTCATTGGTGATTAGTAGGTGAACGACGACTGTTAAACACCGGATCTCATAGGACCCTAGATTTAGGGCGTGTACTTTGAAATCGCGTAAATTTTTCACTTACCGGCAAGTCCAAGAATTAGAATCGAGATATCTTCAAGTACCCACCTCGGGAACTGGCAATCATTGCGAAGAAACAATAGTCTGGTGGCTCACGCGGACAGTACTTTCTTGGTTAAAGCCGTTCGTGACTTTAGCCCCTTAATATTTTGGCCCGGTGAATGCCGATGGCCTTGATTGTTCTCTTCACCTCGGGCGCACTGATATGTATCCTTAGCCTCCCGCATTCCATTGTTAAGTGCACTGGCTATTTGTCTTCACGGCATCTCATGCTTTCCCGCTCATAACCGGTCTTCCGCAAAGTTACCCCTCGCCATTATCTGATCTCAAAGCAAGAATGTTCCAAAACAAAGTCATTGCTATTACTGGTGGTGCTCAGGGCATTGGCCTAGCTACTGCGAGGGCTCTAGCAGGTAGAGGTGCAACGGTCACAATTGCCGATAGCAATCCTGCCACTCTCGCCGATATTGAAAAAGAGTTTACCACAAAAGGCTGGCCGATTCACACCGCTGCGGTGGACGTAAGACAGCCAGAAATGGTGAATGATTGGATTGATGGCGCTGTCCAAAAGTTTGGGCACCTCGATGGTGCTGTTAACGCTGCCGGTACAGTAGGCAGATTATATGGTCAGAAGCCACTCGGTGAGCAGGATGATGATGACTGGAATCTCGTCATGGGTGTCAACCTCAACGGTAAGTGATATTGGATCTTTAATCTTGTTTCCGCCGCCACATGTTGAATCAGAACAATTCTCATCCATCAAGTTCAGGAATGATGTATTCCCTCCGTGCCGAGCTGCGACACTTGTCAGATGGAGGGAGCATCGTGAACATCTCTTCCAATCAAGGCTGCAGGGGAGGTCCGGGTTGTGCGGCCTATTCGACTTCAAAACATGCTGTTATCGGCCTTACGAAGTGCGCAGCCCATGACTATGGAGCACGAGGAATCAGAGTCAACACGGTATCCCCAGGGGGGGCTTATGGACCCCTGATGAAAAGCGTGGTCGGGGATGCTCCCCCTCCTTCGCCCAATGTATTGCGAAAATATGCAAAACCTGAAGAGATTGCTTCCATGATTGTGTGGCTATTGGGACCTGAGAGCACGCATTGCTCTGGTGAGCTCTTTCGCGTTGATGGTGGTGATTTCGCTTAGAAGTCCTCTACAGAACTTTGCAGAATAGTTATAGTGCAGTAGCTTAACGAATCGAAGGTTTTCAACTAACTCATATAAAGCAAATGCTCACCGTAGTGGACAACAGTATGTTGGTCTTCTCATTCTTGGTAATGTGATTACTAGAGAGAGACCGGATTAGGTACCTATGATCTACCATTGTTCTTCGGACCGCCTCGAGCATGACGCTGGTATGGACAGTCGTCATACCTGTCCGCAGACAGTTGTCGCTCAGATCATGAGACTGGGTCTTTGCTACATTTGGTCTACACCATATCGATATC